GGGGCTTGTAATGCTAAAAACTGCCATCAAGGCATATACTGTGACTGACGGGGTCTTATCACTATATAAAAGGATCCTTTTATACAGTGCTAAGACCCAGTCAGTGTCAGGACATACCTTGATGGCAGTTTTTAGCATTACAAGCCCCCGTGGAGGCATCAAACTGAAATTAAGAAATGAACAGAAAAAAACAAAATAACTTCCCACAGACGCCACTACTAGATACCTTGATGATAGGCCAAAGCAACAGAAGCATACATCGTGCAGAACGTGAGATACGTGCAGGATAAACAGCGAAATGTCAACACTGACGTGGAAACAAAGTGTAGCATCAACAACCAAAATGGCGTCGTGTAAATAGCGGTCTCCATGGAGATCCGTTAGAGGTCGTCTCTCGCTCTTTTCCGCAGCTTGTGTCGGAATGACACGACTGATCACGATTGCGTAATCGTCCCAGGTGGGGCCCGACGATGATACCACAAGGGGAGACCACCCCCGATTGCCGATTAAAACGTTTTCAAAGATTCAAACTGGGTTTAACCCCCTGGATGGTGACGGGTTTTTTTCCATAGGTTTAATAGTGAACGTTGTGCGAGAATTGCGGATCTACGTACTGCTACAAAATTACAAATAAATGTAGCATATTAAATTTCCTATCCGATGGTATACAGCTGTAAGTATATATGCATCTCAATACAATTCATTATGCATGTATTCTGCTGGTTATGAAAAGGTTTTCAAAGATTCAAACTGGGTTTAGGCATGTTTCTTTTGAGAAATAGCAAAAGTGTTGGACATCGTGATGGGTCAGATTATGTTCTGGTCGGTTGGGTTGCCTAGTGGTTGAAGCGTTCGCTCGTCACGCCAAAGGTCCAGGTTCGATTCCCAACATAGGTACAATGTGTGAAAATTAGTTAGTCTGTACAGTCTCATTGGGAATAGAACTGTGTGATGTGGAATGTGCTACTGTAAAAAGTAACTGACTGAGCCAAGTCACAAAACCTCGGACATCATGAGGCAAGTGAAATTCCGAGTGGAATATTTGGTATGCAAAAAATGTGAGTACAGTATCACATGAGAAGGGCTTGAATTTCATGTTTAATCGTGTGTATTACTGTTTAAGCTCAAGTGTATGCAGTGAGGTAGAAATTAAGAGTGAAACGCTGGATTCATATTTTTCAGTTTGAATATTTTCTGCATGATTTAATGCCCAATGTCCATTACCAGGCGCTGTTTGTTATCATTAATTACAGAACACTGACACTGAAACTTGAATGGACGTAAACGGAATGTCAACACATATACTGTTTAAAAAAACCTCTCCCAATGGCGATTTGAGGAAATCTTTCCTGCTACTCTTGCATCACCTGCATGACCAAGTTCGGTCAACGTTTTTGGTGGAATACTACAGTTACGAACATATCTCTGTCATGCCCCATACGTGCTCAGTAAGAGACAGGTTATGGATTAGTGCTGGCCAGTGGTATTTTATTGATGTTGTGCTGCTGGATGTGAACATTGGCAATTTGTGAACACAGGTGTTGTCTTGAAAGACAAAATGTCGACCTATAAGTTTTTATGGATGTTGTGTGCTGGATGTGAACATTGGCAATTTGTGAACACAGGTGCTGTCGTCCTGGCAAAACAAAATATTGACCTATAAACTTTGAAAATGGCAAGGAGTGTCAGTATGTTGCTCTGATATGGTACTCCCACGCTCCAGCGACCTTGCACAGTATGGTGTGGACTTCAGTCAAGATACCACACCACACCATAACTGACCCAACACCAAATCAACACCCAACACCTGGCTGACACTGGGTTAACGTATATTTCATGGTCACCAGACACGACCACGCACTTCACGGATGTGCTAAATGAATCGGGATTCATGTGAATTGCGATGAAGACCTTTTGGAAGGATGTGGGAGATGAGTCTCACAAGAAAATGTCAGGAAGTTCTGACATCGTTATCAAGGATGTCTTTGCCAACTTTGATCTTGATATTAATATTACGGTTGGTTGTAGATGTAGATACTGTGATGGTCCACCACGCTACGGATTACTGTGTCTATATCATGATGCTAACCCTTTACATCATCCTTCCTTCCCCAGAAAAATGCCACTACTTAAAGAGGACGACGGCAGATTCAGTGGACTAGGGGTCTGTGTATTTTGTTTTGTTTGTTTGTTGTTTAACACCACACTCAGCAATAGTCCAAATATGTGGCCGTGGTATGTAAATAATCCAGTCTGGACCAGAAAATCCAGTGATCAACAGCATGAGCATCGATCTACGCAATTAGGACATGATGACATGCGTCAGTCAAGTCGGCGAGTCTGACCATCCGATCCCGTTAGTCGCCTTTTACGACAAGAATGGGTGGCTAATTCTAACCCGGATCTTCAAAGAGAGATCATATGTAACACGATATGATGGAAGATAAAAACGAAATACGTTATGAACGATTCAATTTTAGTCTGAAAATCTTTGAGGATACAGTGTAATCGATTCAGTTTTGTCGTTTTCACGTTTCTTCCATGTCTGCGACTTCCATTTCAGTTGGTTGCAAACCGTCTCCAGTCTTGACAACCTTTACGATTGTGTGGAGAAGTGTTTGTCAACTGAAACAAGAAAGTAATGATCACGTGATATGTACACCGGGACAATAAGTAGGTTATCATACATCACAATATATCTTCGGGAAACACCAGCAATGTGTGAAGCTGATTCTTTATATGGCGGCGGTCTGTAGGTGATCGAGTCTGGACCAGACAATCCAGTGATCAACATCATGGGCATCACTCTACGCAATTGTGACACGATAACATGTGTCAAGCATGGGTTATTGGTAGGGCTGGGTATTGCAGAGAATTTTCATATTGCAATATATTGCGATGCGAAAGCATATATTGCGATATGTATTGCAATATATTGCAAGAAGTTCTTTTTTAACAAAAAACTACTTATAATCGAGTTAATGCTTGATTTATAAAGCAAAAACAAAACAAAACAAAATCACCATGCTTGATTAAGCTTTAATAACAACTTTTAATCATGACAAAATAAAAATGTAAATAATATTTGGCACAAATAAAAAAAGGAAAGGAACAATTTATAAAACGGAAATATCCGAAGATTTCCGAGTGTTACGAAGTCTTTTCAAAATACCGGTTTTCAATTAGCGTATCGCAATACGTATCGTTTTCATGTCTGAACCGGTATATACCGCTAAACCGGTTATATTGCGCAGCCCTAGTTATTGGACACCAATTCTAACCCGGACCTTCACGGGTTCTATTCATGTAATCAAATGAAACAACTGACTATGTTATTTCGCTTCAAAATGTTATGACCACGTACTCTGAAAATTAGAAAAATATTATTTTCATCCAAAGTTTAGTGACTACTTGAATGTTTCCATCACAAAACTGTAAAAACACCTGTTGTAGGCACAGTAACGGTTGCTAGGCAACATAAATTTACTTCAGAATGGCTGTTTACAGTTTGACATACTTACGATAATGTCAAATAGATGGAGTGAAGTTTAGAGTTTTCTTTCTCCCTTTGCCAAACCAGTTCATCAGGGTCCCTAAAAATCTGCCCAACATTGCTAAGCCATTTCGGCTGGGCCTTGAAATAATTTCTGGGCCATTGGGATGAATAGCCAGCCGTCCTTTGAAAGTTGTGTGCTAAATGCAAGATTACCATATATTTCACACAAGCTGCTGTTAAATGGGAGATAAAATTACTTGCTGTACACAGAAATTGTTCTCAAATGTTTTTTAAAAGAAAGTAACAAAAGTATCATATTGTTCCAAAATAGAAATATAGTTCTCCTATATTTACGACGAAAACAGGGGTTCCAAATGTCTACTCAATTCAGGCTGAAACTAAAGCCTGTACCTGTACCGTCCTACGTGGTAAGTTTGGAACGTTGTCAGTTACAATAAACATTGGCAATGCATCACACTACATAACTACAATATCAAACAGGTGTCACTATTTTTCTTCAAATATAATCTAGTTGAGATTAATGATGTAAGGCATTGGGGTGGGAAGAAGTAATAGTCAATTTCTGCATACTTGAACCACAGGCAAACTGGGTTGCGCCACAGAGAGACTGCGACAAGACTGCGATCCCCAAATTATCAACCACTCCTTTAGTCAGGTCTTACGGCTAGTATCAGATACAGGGATATACTGTGCCAGGAAATTACAGAAAGTCAGTGATTGATATCATGAGCCACGACCCAAGCCGGGGTTACAGTGACATGCAATCAACTAAGTGATCACCACCTGATCCTTCAAATTGTCTCACGACAATCGCATTAAAATCAGATCTTAGTGGTCTTTTTCAGAGTACACTTTGTTCAGTGGTACCAAGAACTGATATCTGACTTTAAATAAATAGGTTACTGTATATTTCTAAATTTGTGTGATATTTTCGATAATAGATAATACTGTAATTTTGAAATATGTATGTAAAGAAATTTCTTTAAATATAACTTTGTATGTGTAGACGTGGTCTCGTGTCAATGGTTGAAATGACGCCGAGTACTTACTACACATGACAGGAGTCTTGGAGTGGAGACAAAATTCAGGAGATGACATTTGGAACCGACCATTTAAATTTCGGGGGAGGAGGGGGTTACTGGGATTTTGAACTTCAAACTAATCGTCTGAACATGTTCTTAAGGAAACCACAGTGCAGCAATGTAACTTTTGTGGTAGACAACTCTTTTGTGCTGACTTATAACATAATATTATGTGTAACATAATTATCTGTTTCTTTAATTTTCTGGGCCAGCTGATTTGTTTCCATAAAATCCTAGTCCCAACACCTGAATATCAAATGGTCGGTTCCTGGAGTAAAGTACGAATGTATAAAACCCTTTCTTTGAGGCAACAACGTTTATACATATTTATCAACAATTAGCCAAAAAATATATTATCAACATTTCAAAACAGTCAAAACAGTTTATCCAAAAGGTCCAAAAACTAGCAGTTCACACAACACAACACACACATCCAAAGTCTATGTCTGTGTGAAGAAACTCTGGAACATGTACTTCACACAAGACACAAGGACAGCCGAGCACGACTGGGGCTGCTTGGATTCTTCAGCAAGATCGATCTCCACAACTTGAGGACGGGCTCTGGAGGCAGGGACGGGGAGGGAGGTCAGGGGGTCGGGCAGGGAGTAGAGGGGGTTGACGGTGATCGTGAAGACACCAGAACGCTTTTAGAGAGGAAAAAGATTTCGTTAAAACATTGGAATCAGTAATAACTGAAAACGAAGGAGCTTTCAGGTGGAAGACATGAAAAAGTCCTTTGTACACTGTTTCACGTAGATATTTTCATTGCGTTAGTTGCTAAAATGTGTCCTGATTATAAGAAGTGTCACTTTTTTATCAGTCATGTCACAAAGATTATCTAATTTAATAGTAACGAATAGAACCTATCTCGTGTTGGGATGACAAGAACTTGTTTGAACGGTATACGTGTGGGTCTTTCGAACAGATAGCCCGCACAGTGACTATACTTTCCTGACGTTCTTGCCTAAACAGTTTTTAACATAAGTTTTTCTTGATATCTTTTCATAAAATTCCATATTTATCAAAACAATAACTCGTTTCAAACTGCTTCTCGAGATTTCTTTGTTCTTATAGGACACTAAATCAACTGGGACCTATGGATGACCTACAGGATCAGGGACTGGGAGAGACTTTTGGGAGACGGGGGCCTGGTAGGTCCTAAACCTGTGGAGATCGTCCACAGCTGGAATGGAATACATATGACACTAAAAAACATCAATACAGTTCAATCTCATTGATTGTCTCAATACTATACACTCATTGACTATAGACTTAACCCGAAATGGACTGTCTTTGTTGTAAGAATCATGGTGATTGTTGTTTTGTTTTTCATTGTTTGCCGTTTGTTTCTTGGGTTCGGTTTAGTTTGTTGTATCTGTTGCTTTTATTTTAAATAATTTTAAATTTTTTAAATTGGTCTTGGACATATTGGGTCATATATGACAAAATTTATCTCCTTGATACAATTGTTACTTACACTGTGGAAGGTGCTTAAGTGGTATCTCAATGTATTGTGTTGATAGTATTGATTGTAGACTTTACCCGAAAATGGACTGACTTTACTGTAAGATTCGTGGTGTTTTGTTTATTGTTAGGTGGTTGTTTGTCTGGTTGGTTTTGTTTAGGTTTTATACTTTCTTTGAGGTAAAATGGTCGGGCCAAAATGGTCTTGGACATGAAAACTACCTCCCCTTGACACAACTGTTACTTACAAGTTGGTGTATGAAATCCTACACTACCACTGTAAATATTATTATTATATTATGTATACTCTAAGAAATATATTTCAGGGAATCCTGAGAAGTTGAACTAGAAGTAGCCAAGGGAGAAAGGGGGGCATTGATCGGAATTTACCGTCGTCATGATACGTAATCACATATCAATATGATTTTACCATAGGAATTTATGTTACATTGGATGTTAAAAAACAGAATTCACTTCGTTGAGATTACTAATAAGGGAGTTTCCAAACCCTTTACAGAAATACTTTCAAGCGTCCCATCAACACTCATTCGTTAAAACATTTGATCATTTGTAACACAAATAGTAATTCATGAACATAAACAAGGGATCAGCGAATGAATTTTCTTTTTTTTACTCAGGATGTCAGTCAATTGTTTAACTTTTTATTGTTTCCAAATCTTCAGGGCAGGATTCAAGTTTGGAATACAACAGGCCAAGAGGCATCCTCAGGGGCTTGTAATGCTAAAAACTGCCATCAAGGCATATACTGGATCCTTTTATACAGTGCTTAGACCCCGTCAATGACAGGACATACCTTGATGGCAGTTTTTAGCATTACAAGCCCCCGTGGAGGCATCAAACTGAAATTAAGAAATGAACAGAAAAAAACAAAATAACTTCCCACAGACGCCACTACTAGATACCTTGATGATAGGCCAAAGCAACAGAAGCATACATCGTGCAGAACGTGAGATACGTGCGGGATAAACAGCGAAATGTCAACACTGACGTGGAAACAAAGTGTAGCATCAACAACCAAAATGGCGTCGTGTAAATAGCGGTCTCCATGGAGATCCGTTAGAGGTCGTCTCTCGCTCATTTCCGCAGCCTGTGCCGGAATGACACGACTGATCACGATTGCGTAATCGTCCCAGGTGGGACCCGACGGTGATACCACAAGGGGAGACCACCCCCGTTATATTGATATCCTGGTCCAAGCTCGATGCCTCTCTGTCCCGAGGTCTTTCTATACAAAGGTCTTGATGAAAATCATCTACAGTTGAATTTTGAAACTGTTCTTGATACTGGCCAAAACTGTTTATGAAAATAACAAATCAACTCATATACTATTAAGAAATACGGCAAGTGCGGTGTTACATCAACCTACACAACTAAAATAAGTAGACATATTATGACGTGTTTCAGGGTCTAGGAATTTTATCGACAAATGCATTGACAACTAACATGACCGAGTGCTCAGGCTCGCTGACTTGCTTGACAGGTCATCGATCTCAATTGTCTGCGTTGCGATCTTTGGATTTTCTGGTCCAGATTTGAGTATTTACAAAGCTCCGTCTTATTGCCGACTGCGGTGTTAAACAACAAACAAAACACCAACTCTCGGTTCAGTTTTAAATTACCACAGCTGGTGTTACCAATACAATTCCATATACTGTATATATTGCTGATTGCTGATTAAAACGTTTTCAAAGATTCAAACCTGGATGGCGAGGTTGTTTTTTTTCCAATAAGGTTGAAAAGTGTACGTTGTGCGAGAATTGCGGGTCTACGTACTGCTACAAAATTACAAATAAACGTAGCAATTAAATTTCCTATCCGATGGTATACAGCTGTAAGTATATAGGCGTCTCAATATAATTCCATATGCATGTATACTGCTGGTTATGAAAAGGTTTTCAAAGGTTCAAACTGGGTTTAGGCATGTTTCTTTTGAGAAATAGCAAAAGTGTTGGACATCGTGATGGGTCAGATTATGTTCTGGTCGGTTGGGTTGCCTAGTGGTTGAAGCGTTCGCTCGTCACGCCAAAGGTCCAGGTTCGACTCCCCACGTAGGTACAATGTGTGATGCCAATTTCTGGTGTCCCCTGTGGTGAGATTGATGGAATATTGGTAAATAGTGTGTAAAACTAACTCACTCACTCACTATGTGTAATAGATAAGATATGACTAATACATATCTGATTGCCTATCAGAAAATTAGTTAGTCTGTACAGTCTCATTGGGAATAGAACTGTGTGATTTGAAATGTGCTACTGTAAAAAGTAACTGACTGAGCCCAGTCACAGAACCTCGAACATCATGAGGCATGTGAAATTCCGAGTGGAATATTTGGTATGTTAAAAATGTGAGTACAATATCACATTAGAAGACGTGAGCGAACCCCCTGAATGTTGAACCTTTATTTTTAAAGACAAGAAGGGCTTGAATTTCATGTTTTATCTTGTGTATTACTGTTTCAGTTCAGGTGCATGCAGTGAGGTAGAAATGTAGAGTAAAACTTTGGATTCATATTTTTCAGTTTGAATATTTTCTGCAAGATTTTAAACCCAATGTCTATTACCAGGTGCTGTTTGTTATCAATAATTACAGAACACTGACACTGAAACTTGAATGGACGTAAACGGAATGTCAACACATATACTGTTTAAAAAAACCTCTCCCAATGGCGATTTGAGGAAATCTTTCCTGCTACTCTTGCATCACCTGCATGACCAAGTTCGGTCAACGTTTTTGGTGGAATACTACAGTTACGAACATATCTCTGTCATGCCCCATACGTGCTCAGTAAGAGACAGGTTATGGATTAGTGCTGGCCAGTGGTATTTTATTGATGTTGTGCTGCTGGATGTGAACATTGGCAATTTGTGAACATAGGTGTTTTCGTCCTGGCAAAACAAAATATTGACCTATAAACTTTGAAAATGGCAAGGGGTGTCAGTATGTTGCTCTGATATAGTACTCCCACCTTCCAGCGACCTTGCACAGTATGGTGTGGACCAGTCAAGATACCACACCATACCATAACTGGGCCAACACCAAATCAACACCCAACACCTGGTTGACACTGGGTTAAAGGTCACATAAACCCTAGGGGGTACAAATGCATAAATCACTAACTAGCATCGTTATAAATGAAACCCCGTCATTAAATCTACTCATTTCGACCTTTAATTGACTTAAACCGACTTTTTTGACAACAGTGCACAATTCTCACCCGCGAACGAAATTTCAACCAATCAGAGCGGCGCGTCTCTGTGACGTCATATGAGGAATAGCTTTGAGGGCCGATGCAGAATTCATCTACATTTTAGGGGGTAAATTATCTTGTTTACAGGCTTGTATAAACCTGAAATCGTGACAATTGTTGTGGAAAATGAAAGCTATATGTTCTCACAATCTACTGTCATTTAATTTTCTCTCCTGCTTTGCCTAGTTTCCGAGTTACAACTTGTTTTCATAGACGATTCTGTCAAAATCGATTGGTGTCGTTAGGCCCTATTTTTATAATGACTGATCCAATTTGATCCCATTTCTATGTTTTTTTACCTCGATATTTAATCATGTCATGTAAAAATCTGTTTGTATTCTCAAAACAGTGTCGGCCCATAAGTTTTCACATGCAATACAGCAATTAATACTCCCTTGTTGTAACCCGTGTTAGGTGGTATAAACCTACATGTTATTTGTCATCATTCACTTGATGGTCAGTTAATGAATTTATAACAGGTATAATTAGTGGTAACACACTTAGATTACCCGACAAAGGTTCCCATTTGGCGTTTCTTGTGTCTGGAGTAAATATTCAACATTATAAACATCGATCAAAAGATTAACCGATAACACGCTGATTGATTAATTACTTTTATCTTACACAGCGGAATTGTCAAAAGGTAGTGTTTATGTATGTAGATTTACTAATCTATACTGAATACACTCTGTCGTGTCGGTGTCTGCGTAAAAACAACGTCCTTCTTTCAAAGGATTAACCGGCAATACATTGATTGATTGCCCATTATTGGCTAACTAATTTACTGTTTTTAAAGAAAGGCGGACATTATGCAATTAGTTGCCAGGTGTGCTATCTTGGGTGACCAATGAGACTATACACCAATACCTGAAAAGATTTATCACTTTTTCGTATTTTAAAATGTTAAAACACACATCATTTGGAGCAGTTTGTGAATATTGATGGATACATTCCTCGAACAAGGTAATGGCCTGATATTGTTCTTATAACTTTAATCTGTTTTAATTTTAATATTTGCATGTTGTTTTTATTCATTTGTCGTAGCATTCAACAGAATCATTGTTTTTCGCCGTGAAGTGTAATGAGACAGACAACATACACTAGGGTGTGTGTGCGAATTATGATTCACATTGGCAAACTATAAAATGTCTAGATATTACAGTTCTGTTATAAATTCACTAGAAGTATCAGCAGATCGTCTGCTTTTTATTTAGTTTCAAAATGCATACAAGTATGATAATAAACTAATTAGGATTATAAGACCAAATATAAAGACGCACATTGACCAGTATCTACATACTGGTGAGTGGACATTAACCATTTGAATGCAGCAAGAAATTTATCGCTCAGTATTGTGACTTCGACCCCCACCTCGCTTCCGTGGAAGAAATCGTTATGTTATAAGTTGTGTCATGCAAAATCCGTTTGGTTATGATTCCAATACATATTTATCTACGAGTAGAAAGTAGTTTTGATTTTCTAACTTGATGAAAACAAACTATAATCTCATTAATTCTAACAGACTTTACGATTTTCAAAATGGCGCTAACCCTGTTAGGAACATCAGCCAGTCTGAGGATAAATGCTATTTAGGTTTGTTTTCACCGAGTTACTAAAATCAAAACTACTTTCTACTATTAGTAAATATGTATTTGATTGATAATAATAGGATTTTGCATGACATATAGCGTATAACATAACAATTCTCTCTCTGGCAGCGAGGTGAATAATCAATATAATACTACTTACAATATTATTGTGACTTGACCCCCACCTCACTTCCGAGGAAGAAATCGTTATGTTACAAGTTGTGTCATGGAAAATCTTTATGGTCATCAATCATATACATATTTTACTACAACTAGTAAGTAGTTGTGATTCTTTAACTTCCGTGAAGCGATCTGAACACAAGTAAGATATGGTTTCAGGCTTCCACAACGCTTAAACACTCACAAACATAATCCATTTAGCACGAACTGCGGGGTCCTGTGGAAATCTGTGCATGGTGACACCATCGCCCGACCCTAGGAGCAATTGGCGACAAAGCAACGATTCGGCATGTCGGTCGTTGATGTCGAAAATCATCAAAATGATGAGCGTACTACACACTTTCTATACAACTAACTGAAAATCGTTCCTCATATGACGTCACAGCAGTGCTCTGGCGACAGAGTTACGTAACCTGTCTGTGGTTTCGTTGGCGGGCGAGAGGGAAGCAGGCGACTTTTTGGCCACTTTTAATCGCTCGGTATTAATTAACCACAAGTTGTTAAAGAATAAATTTGGTGTTCCGCTTAAGACTAACCACAAATCTTTCATATGTAACGGTTAAAAGAGTAACAACAAGCAAAGTTTATTGGTTCTTTAACGTTTATTTCATGGTCACCAGACACGACCACGCACCTCACGGATGTGCAAAGTGAATCGGGATTCATGTGGATTGCGATGAAGACCTTTTGGAAGGATGTTGAGGACGAGTCTCACAAGAAAATGTCAGGAAGTTGCCATAACAACATAATAATTAGACTAATGGTCTGAGTTCTGCCAACTTTGATATTGATATTAATATAACGGTTGGTTGTAGATGTAGATACTGTGATGGCCCACCACGCTACGGATTACTGTGTCTTTATCATGATGCTAACCCTTTACATCATCCTTCCTTCCCAGAAAAATGCCACTACTTAAAGAGGACGACGGCAGATTCAGTGGACTAGGGGTCTGTGTATTTTGTTTTCTTTGTTTGTTGTTTAACACCACAATCAGCAATAGTCCAAATATGTGGCGGTGGTATGTAAATAATCCAGGCTGGACCAGAAATTCCAGTGATCAACAGCATGAGCATCGATCTACGAAATTAGGACATGATGACATGCGTCAGTCAAGTCGGCGAGTCTGACCACCCGATCCCGTTAGTCACCTTTTACGACAAGAATGGGTTGCTGAAGACCAATTCTAACCCGGATCTTCAAAGAGAGATCATATGTAACACGATATGATGGAAGATAAAAACGAAATACGTTATGAACGATTCATTTTTATTCTGAAAATCTTAGAGGACACAGTGTAGTCGATTCAGTTTTGTCGTTTTCACGTTTCTTCCATGTCTGCGACTTCCATTTCAGTTGGTTGCAAACCGTCTCCAGTCTTGACAACCTTTACGATTGTGTGGAGAAGTGTTTGTCAACTGAAACAAGAAAGTAATGATCACGTGATATGTACACCGGGACAATAAATAGGTTATCATACATCACAATATATCTTCGGGAAACACCAGCAATGTGTGAAGCCGATTCTTTATATGGCGGCGGTCTGTAGGTGATCGAGTCTGGACCAGACAATCCAGTGATCAACATCATGGGCATCACTCTACGCAATTGTGACACGATAACATGTGTCAAGCATGGGTTATTGGTAGGGCTGGGTATTGCAGAGAATTTTCATATTGCAATATATTGCGATGCGAAAGCATATTTTGCGATATGTATTGCAATATATTGCAAGAAGTTCTTTTTTAACAAAAAACTACTTATAATCGAGTTAATGCTTGATTTATAAAGCAAAAACAAAACAAAACAAAATCACCATGCTTGATTAAGCTTTAATAACAACTTTTAATCATGACAAAATAAAAATGTAAATAATATTTGGCACAAATAAAAAAAGGAAAGGAACAATTTATAAAACGGAAATATCCGAAGATTTCCGAGTGTTACAAAGTCTTTTCGAATGCAAGTCAAAATACCGGTTTTCAATTAGCGTATCGCAATACGTATCGTTTTCATGTCTGAACCGGTATATACCGCTAAACCGGTTATATTTCGCAGCCCTAGTTATTGGACACCAATTCTAACCCGGACCTTCACGGGTCCGTATTCATGTAATCAAATGGAACAACTGACTATGTTATTTCGCTTCAAAATTTTATGACCACGTACTCTGAAAATTAGAAAGATATTATTTTCATCCAAAGTTTAGTGACTACTTGAATGTTTCCATCACAAAACTGTTAAAAAAAACTGTTGTAGGCACAGTAACGGTTGCTAGGCAACATAAATTTACTTCAGAATGGATGTTTATAGTTTGACATACTTACGATAATGTCAAACAGATGGAGTGAAGTTTAGAGTTTTCTTTCTCCCTTTGCCAACCAGTTCATCAGGGTCCCTAAAAATCTGCCCAACATTGCTAAGCCATTTCGGCTGGGCCTTGAAATACTTTCTGGGCCATTGAGATGACTAACCAGCCGTCCTTTGAAAGTTGTGTGCGAAATGCAAGATTACCATATATTTCACACAAGCTGCTGTTAAATGGGAGATAACAATACTTGCTGTACACAGAAATTGTTCTCAAATGTTTTTAAAAGAAAGTAACAAAAGTATCATCTTGTTCCAAAATAGAAATATAGTTCTCCTATATTTACGACGAAAACAGGGTTCCAAATGTCTACTCAATTCAGGTTGAAACTAAAGCCTGTACCTGTACCGTCCTACGTGGTAAGTTTGGAACGTTGTCAGTTACAATAAACATTGGCAATGCATCACACTACATAACTACAATATCAAACAGGTGTCACTTTTTTTCTTCAAATATAATCTAGTTGAGATTAATGATGTAAGGCATTGGGGTGGGAAGAAGTAATAGTCAATTTCTGCATACTTGAACCACAGGCAAACTGGGTTGCGCCACAGAGAGACTGCGACAAGACTGCGATCCCCAAATTATCAACCACTCCTTTAGTCAGGTCTTACGGCTAGTATCAGATACAGGGATATACTGTGCCAGGAAATTACAGAAAGACAGTGATTGATATCATGAGCCACGACCCAAGCCGGGGTTACAGTGACATGCAATCAACTAAGTGATCACCACCTGATCCTTCAAATTGTCTCACGACAATCGCATTAAAATCAGATCTTAGTGGTCTTTTTCAGAGTACACTTTGTTCAGTGGTAGCAAGAACTGATATCTGACTTTAAATAAGTAGGTTACTGTATATTTCTAAATTTGGTGTGATATTTTCGATAATAGATAATACTGTAATTTTGAAATATGTATGTAAAGAAATTTCTTTAAATATAACTTTGTATGTGTAGACGTGGTCTCGTGTCAATGGTTGAAATGACGCTGAGTACTTACTACACATGACAGGAGTCTTGGAGTGGAGACAAAATTCAGGAGATGACATTTGGAACCGACCATTTAAATTTCGGGGGAGGAGGGGGTTACTGGGATTTTGAACTTCAAACTAATCGTCTGAACATGTTCTTAAGGAAACCACAGTGCAGCAATGTAACTTTAGTGGCAGACAACTCTTTTGTGCTGACTTATAACATAATTATGTGTAACATAATTATCTGTTTCTTTAATTTTCTGGGCCAGCTGATTTGTTTCCATAAAATCCTAGTCCCAACACCTGAATATCAAATGGTCTGTTCCTGGAGTAAAGTACGAATGTATAAGACCCTTTCTTGAGGCAACAACGTTTATACATGCGTTTTACTTATATCATGATATCAAACAATAAAATATATTATCAACAATTAGCCAAAACAGTCAAAACAGTTTATCCAAAAGGTCCAAAAACTAGCAGTTCACACAACACAACACACACATCCAAAGTCTATGTCTGTGTGAAGAAACTCTGGAACATGTACTTCACACAAGACACAAGGACAGCCGAGCACGACTGGGGCTGCTTGGATTCTTCACCAAGATCGATCTCCACAACTTGAGGACGGGCTCTGGAGGCAGGGACGGGGAGTGAGGTCAGGGGGTCGGGCAGGGTGTAGAGGGGGTTGACGGTGATCGTGAAGACACCAGAACGCTTTTAGAGTGGAAAAAGATTTCGTTAAAACATTGAAATCAGTAATAACAGAAAACGAAGTAGCTTTCAGGTGGAAGACATGAAAAAGTCCTTTGTACACTGTTTCACGTAGATATTTCCATTGCGTTAGTTGCTAAAATGTGTACTGATTATAAGAAGTGTCACTTTTTTATCAGTCATGTCACAAAGATTATCTAATTGGATAGTAACGAATAGAACGTATCTCGTGTTGGGATGACAAGAACTTGTTTGAACGGTATACGTGTGGGTCTCTCGAACAGATAGCCCGCACAGTGACTATACTTTCCTGACTTTCATGCCTAAAGAATTTTTAACAAGTTTTTCTTGATATCTTTTCATAAAATTCCATATTTATCAAAACAATAACTCGTTTCAAACTGCTTCTCGAGATTTCTTTGTTCTTATAGGACACTAAATCAACTGGGACCTATGGATGACCTACAGGATCAGGGACTGGGAGAGACTTTTGGGAGACGGGGGCCTGGTAGGTCCTAAACCTGTGGAGATCGTCCACAGCTGGAATAAATACACAAATAAAGATACATATCGATCGCCACTGTGGTAGCTGCTAGAGTGGAATCTCAATATATTGTCTAAATATACTATTCACACTTCGCTAAGGATCAAATCATGGATTCAACAGAAACTATTATGTGGGGTCAAATTTGGTTTAAATATCTAAGCTTATTTTAAGCATGGATCCTAGGTTTCAGTTAGTAATTTCATCTTGTGGAACACATACCTGCTATTGACAGGTGTTGTGTACTTGTCAGTGACTCGTTCCATGATTTGCAAAATGGCTGACTGGTGCCATGAAAACCATTTTTATGGTTACTCAGGTGCATAAGGTTAGATTAAAGTGACTGTTTGTCTAAAGAGGGGTGTCGATATTATAATTTATCCAGTTTTAAATGGATACAATTTCAAATGATTAATCTACGTTTAAGTACATTTTTGTGATTCTTAGCAAAGTGTGAGTTGTATAGTAAAGACTCATTGACTGTAGACTTTACACGAAAATGGACTGACTGGGTTTTTGTTTTATTTTATTGCTGGCCGTTTGTTTGTTTTGGTTTGGTTTGGTTTATCTTGTGTTTTTCAATACTTTCTTTGAGGTTATGGTCATTTTGGGACATGAAAGACAAATTCTCTCCTTGATACAACTGTTACTTACATGCTGGTAGATGAAAACCTACACAACCACTATGATTAACTGTATGATGTAATTTACAGTTCGATCTACCACCATGTATAAGTGTAATAAAGTACAGTTTTGTTCTGAACTTATCAGAGCTACTATAGTTAAGTACGAGGACGCTGATCGGAATTTACTGTTAACACTAAAGTTTTAAGATGATTCTACCATTGGAATTTAAATGCTACATAGGATATTTATGACAGAAATCACTTCGCTGAAATTACCAACATGGGATTTTCCAAAGCGTCCTTTCAGTACACGTTCGCTTCTCAAAAGAAAAACATTTGATCATTTGTAACACAAACGAGGGATCACCGAATGAAATTTGTATTTTTCACTGAGTATGTCAGTCATTCTGTTTAACTTTTTATTGTTATCATATCTTCAAGACACAATTTCAAGTTTTGGAATACAATCGGTCAAAAAGAATCAAACTGAAATTAAGATAATCAAGATGAAAAACAAAACCATATTCACACAGACACCATCACTGGATACCTTGATGATAGGCCAAAGCAACAGAAGCATACATCGTGCAGAACGTGGGATACGTGCGGGATAAAGAGCGAAATGCAAACACTGACGAGGAAACGAAGTGTAGCAGCAACAACCAAAATGGCGTCGTGTAAACAGCGGTCTCCATGGAGATCCGTTATGGATCGTCTCTCGCTCTTTTCCGTAGGCTATGCCGGAATGACACGACTGTTCACGATTGCGGTTGAGGATGGTCCCAGCTGTTTACCTGATGATGGGGCCAGTACATGCCCTGAAAGAAACGTTGTGCTCAAGAATAAAAAGAAGATGTGACCCAGAAAAATCTCCATGTTCATCAAATAGCATCTTCTAAAATGCCAACCAAGCATCTGACGATCAGTCGTTGGTTCCTGGCTCACGTCCAACGGTGATACCACAAGGGGAGATCACACCCGATGCATTGATATTGTTCGCTGGTCAAAAGCTCAAGGTGTGTCGTGACACCCAAGGAGGTCGGTCTTGATGGAAAACATCTATGGTTGATTTTTAATGGTGCTCCTGACAAGCTTCTCGTGACAGGTCAATACTGTATTTGAGAATGATAAATCAATACATGTGCTGTGAAGGAATATTAAGTACTGAGTAACATAAAACGTCTTAAAAGAATACATATCACTATGGGTATCAGGGGTTTTATCGACAAAAAAAGTTTGCAAAGCATAATCATGCTTCAGACGGTTGAAAAGAAGATAGAAATTATCAGCCACCAAATAGACATATATATTGTACATGTAGAAAGATGGCGTTCCATTACTGGTGCGTATACCAAGTTTCTTGGAATGCCCGGAGTAGAACCCTGCCTTGTGAGTAAGTGGGTGAGTTGGTTTTTTACGCAGCTTTTAGCAATATTCCAGCAATATCACGGCGGGGGACACCAGAAATACACTTCACACATTGTACCAATGTGGGGAATCGAACCCGGGCCTTCGGCGTGACGAGCGAACGCTTCAACCACTGGGCTACCCCACCACCCCTTCTCTTGTGAATCCAAGAATACACGCAGCACTGAAGAATATACTTGTAGCCAGTGTTCGAAATAGCCACTAATCCGCTAGCCCGTGGCTAGTAAAAACCCAGTCGGGCGAATTGCTAATGAATTTTCATGGGGTCATTTTGTAAATACATGTATATCACTCTCTCCGACTTATTACGTTATAATACACTTTTAAATCATGCAAGATTACGGCCATCATATATACTGATGGTAAAGTCAAGCAACCCCATACTTTCTGACATTATGGAACAAGAAGTACCATTTTCACTGCAAACGCTTTATGATGACACACATATTGTTGGATTCCTATCAAGCAATACGTCAAATGTACTAATCACCATTACAAGACAAACTCAAGTCATTATGGCGTACTTTTAATCTGCATAATGTTGAAATGGCAATTTTATGGGCAAATAAAGATCTAACAAAGTTTGGGCACACAGGAAAACTTTTAATAGTAAGGTGGGGTATGTGACTGTTCCCACAAACTGTAAACTATGGACTTTTTGATGACAGTTTTCACAAGTCAAAACCTGACATAATGACCCTCAGTAATGGGTGTAACCACCTCGGCTGTTTATCACCTGCTGACATCTTCGCCTCATTGAGAGCACTAGATTAGACGGTTTACTTGTCTACCGATCTCACCCAATACATGCTCTATCGGGTTGAGATCAGGATTCTGACTTGGTCACGGAAGGGACTCAATTCTGTGCTCTTGCTTGGCTTTCTCATCAACAATAGCACGATGTGGGCGAGCATTGTCATCTTGGAAAATGAATTCTGTGTCAGGATTGGCGTGAAGGAAAGGCATGAGTGAGTGAGTATGGTTTTACGCCGCTTTTTTAGCAATATTACAGCAATATCACGGCGGGGAACACCAGAAATGGGTTTCACACATTGTACCCATGTGGGGAATCGAACCCGAGTCTTCGGCGTGACGAGTGAACGCTTTAACCACTAGGCTACCCCACCGCCCCGTGAAGGAAAGGAATAACTGTGTTTTCAATAATCTGATTGCGATACTTTACCTCAGTCACGTCCTCGATTATCTCCAGGGTATACGTTACGATCACTCTCCACTATACACTGGATGCATCCACGGCTTGGCCCGATGATTTTATTACCTCCCTTGACCGGCTTTTTAGCCAATCAGGTGTCTACGCTGGGAAGTTGAGCGAACCAATCACAACTCACTTTCGCTTCCTAAATTATCTAACCGTTTAAACTTGGCAACACAATTGATGCAGAGGTACTCTGAAAGAGGTAGAAGGAGTTCTTTTATATATTATATTTTTTTTAAGTTTCAGATCTGTCAATTTGTCTGTATTATTTCCTAAAAAATCTGAGTGGCACTGCGAACAAACCTTCGCCAGGTCGGCTCTCGCGAAATTCATCTTCAGCAACCCATGCTTGTCGTAGGGGGTGGCGAACGGGTTTGGGTGGGCAGGCTAGCGTCCATTTCTGGTATATATCTGGTATTGCTGGAATATTGCTAAAAGCGGCATAAAACTAAACTCACGCACTGAATATCAAATTTGAACGAAATCGGTGAAGAAATAAAGATCTTAGAAAATTCTACCGCTACGCTCATTACATAAAATATACCTTGAAATTTGAAATATATGTTAATCATAACGTATAGAAACAATATATGATTTGCAAAAGTCTAGATTTTTATGTTTAAAAAAGATTGTCCAAACAGTGATTCGAACCCCTGTGGTTCGCAGCAACCCGATTCGTTGTTTGAGCTCTATTTCGGACAGTTTTCCCCCAGATCAATCGACCCTATACTCATGTCGAAGACCTGGGGACTCCTTGAGGGGGTTCTGCCATCAACATGTTGGTTTGTTGGCCCCTCCTTATCACAGACTATGAAACACTGGATATAATGTCCACTGATTAGACTTTAAAAGGATTATCTATTTTAAAATGTTTTCCATCTCTTACATATTTCATGCAAATATTAAAGCAGATTGCAGTCCAAACGCCCCAGGCCCAATCTACTCTGGAACATTGCACTCTTACCAAGGTCCGGGGTGATGGGGTAGCCCAGTGGTTGGAACATTGGCTCGTTAATCCGAATACGTAAGTTTGACGACCATTTCTGGTATCTCGCGCCGTGATATAGCTTGAACATTGATTAAAAACGGCGTAAAATCATACTCACTCACTCAAAATCCAGTTTGTGAATTCTCTGTCTAATGTTCGACTCTCCACCTGCCGTTCCAAGATCAACCCGCCGGCTAGCCCTACAGCTGGTCCAAGTTTTATAACAAGGCTAAGGCTCTGTCGTAAGTAGGACCGACTGTAGTGCACGAGCTGCACGAAATTCGCGTGGTTGAAGTATGACACAACAGCCAGGACCTGCAGTAAGACAGCCTGATGCCTGGCGGTGTTCGTTCCTGGAGTCTTCCAAACACTTGAGTGAGTGAGTGAGTTTATAGTGACCTATTCTACCCCGGATCTTCACGGGTCTCAAACACTTGAACGCCATTTTGCGAATTCACGTACAATACCATAACGCCAGGTCATTTGTTTACAGGACTGGTGTTATTTTAATGAAATAATGAAATTGACACCAACGTTAAATCTTGTAAAACTGACTGTCGGGCAAAATTAGGTTGACAGTGACCATTTCTATTAATCAATACCAACTTAAATTTTTTTGTACGTGTCAAAACAAGGTCTTCGTGGAAATCAACAAGGAAATGTACCCAAGTTTGTGTTGGTTATAAAATGCTGCTAAATATAGCACTAACTTGGCACCTTGCATAGACAACAAACAAAAACTTCACGCTGATGAACATCTATAATTCGTCCTGTGTACCAGCTGACTGGCGTCTGACCGAACAGACCACTCTCCTACCCAGAGTTCCATGCGGCAAGCCAGCATAGTACCTCTGCCACAGGCCAGAAAAATGTGACGATTCGTCACATCTTGCACCGTCCTTTCAATATAATGTACAGATTTCTTTTACTCTTTTATTTTTGACGAGTCTACACATCTAACTAAACATCTTTAATAGAATAGTTTAGTTTCACTGAGAAAATATCCAAAAACATGTAACACTATTTCGATTTGCGTAGCGATCATTTGTTTACATAGGTTGTACGGCACCACGTGCTGTCGTCGAAGCCAACGGGGAGGAAACGATGCAGCCAGTTTGATATCTAAATATGTACTGTCATAGACCTTACTGTCGCAGTTGTGGAAGAATATATATTTAACAATTTAAAACATTATGAAGAGAGCGCCGAAAGCTTTCATGAGTCCAGTCTCTTCTTATTATGAATATGCGCGTTTGTTTACAAACAAGAGAAAAGTCCGGTCACGTGATATGCAAATTAGCCTGTGGCAGTGATGTTATGTAAGTCATCGCTGTGCCGGAGTGTGCAAACAGACAACAGTATTAAACATAGTTCTGTCATATATGTACATTAACAAAAATAGACCCGGGTTCGATTCCCCCAAATGGGTACAATGTGAGAAGCCCATTTTTGGTGTCTCCCGCCATGATATTGCTGGAATATTGCTAAAAGCAGCGTAAAACCATACTCACTCGTTAGAAATGTCAATAATCGAGTCTGGACCAGACAATCCAGTGATCAACATCATGAGCATCGATCTACACAGTTAGGATACGACGACATGTGTCAGCCAAGTCAGACCAGCATGAACACCCGATCCCGTTAGTCGCCTCTTACGACAAGCATGGGTTACTGAAATGGCAGATCGCAAGTTGACGTACATATCAGGTTACAACATGTCCGCAACAAGGAAGCCCATGCGTTTCAACAAAATGATTCCGCAATCCAGTCTTATTGTATTTTACTGTATTGTTCCTTGTAGAGTAATATGATACACATCTGTTTTCATATTAATCAATTTAAAGTCAATTCAGTTTAACAAATATCATGTGTATTAATTTGGTTGAGAATATGTGCAATCCCAACTCCATAACATTCGCGAGTGTCAGCAAAGCTTTCAGTCAATACACTGTATTGTGACTGGAGATGAGGTTGGAGTATTTACAATTCCTTTTTATGAAATAGTAGCCTTGTGGTTAAAGCGTTCGCTCGTCACACCGAAGACCCGGTTCGATTGCCCGCATGGGCACTGTGTGAAGCCCAGTTCTGGTGTCCCCCGCCGTGATATTGCTGGAATTAGTGGTGGTCCGATTAATTGAAATAATCGAAGATTGGTCATAGTGACTAAACGACCAAGCAATCGATCACAATTTCTCATAATCGAACACAAACAATTCTGGAACACTTGTTTTCATTAACAATATTTTTCACATGGTTGGTTTTGTCTGTTACATTTTGTAAGCACTACAAGCTCGTTTCAAGTCACGATTAAATTTATGTTCAAGATTCCAAGAAATTTATGTTACTAACATACTAGTCATCCTTTAAAGATGTGAAATTTTGCCAAAAAAAACCAAAAGAACTACTTGTTTTTTTTACCTTGTTTTTATGTGCATTAACAAATTTCATAAATGATGCTAACCAATTATTTTCGATGATTGATCGGTAGTAATGAACCAATCATCAATTATGAGATTTTAACCGATTCCCAACACTAGCTGGAATATTGGTAAAAGCGGCGTAAAACTAAACTCACTCACTTACTATATGAATGTAACACATTGCGCATATACATATGCTATTCACACTTTGCTAAGGATCAAATCGTGGATTCAACAGAAAACTATAATGTGGGGTCAAATTTGGTTTAAATACCTAAGCTTATTTTAAGCATGGATCCATGGTTTCAGTATTTCGTTGCATCTTGTGGAACACATACCTGCTATTGAATGTGTTGTTTATTTGTCAATGACTCGTTCGATGATTTGCAAAATGGTTGACCGGTGCCATGAAAACCATTTTCATGGTTACTCATGTATTAAGTGCATAAGGTTAGATTAAAGTGATTATTTGCCTCATGAGGGGTTACCATATTATTATTTATCCAGTTTTAAATGGATTCAATTTCAAATAATGAATCTACGTTTAAGTAAAGTTTTGAATTTGTGTGATCCTTAGCAAAGTGTGGGTAGTATACATTGTATTTCCTTTTGAATCGTGAAATGTTCATTATGTTAATTTACATAGCCGGCTTAAATTGAAAGCCACTTCTTTTAGATAAATTGAAGTAAATGCATGTATACCCGACTGAAATTCGTCACATCAGTAATAAATAGGCTGCATATAATATATGTGGAAAAAATGACGGTTGTATGGATAAAGATTGACATTCGTTCCTTTCAATCGAAAGTTTCTATATTATGAACAAAGATTTGAGAAAATGTTTACCGTTATTTTATGAACGAATGTTAAACTCTAATACGACAAACAAATCCATTGCTAAGACAAAAACGGTGACGATAGAAGATAGATTTTGTTGCTTTTGACGATTAACTTGGCTTTGTCTACTAAAATGAGTAAAAGCGCCAAGAACTAACAGAGAAACTGCGTAATATAGCTGAGAAACCAGTTTACGTTCTATGGGAATCCTCAGCCTCGTTCTGACATAATATTTGACATCACACAGGGGTTTCCCATATCATGTGCCTATGATCTGAAAATACGAGAAAACAGTTTGCACAAGCGTTTGCTCCTCTCAGAATCTACTCCAAACACAAGTCGTATTTACACCTTTAACTGTGCTTGACAGTCTGCCTTCAAACTTATGTGTATGCGCCATAAAACACATTTCTTGCGGTAAAAGGAAAGCTACGACGTCTGTGAGTGTGAGTCTGAACACAGTCACAGATTTGTGTTGACGTTTGGAACTATTGTGCAACTACTGTAACGTCTTTCGTTCGGTTTTATGCAGGTGCTAGACAGGCGATACGACAACTCGTGTATCACACGCTAAACAAGCCATATTAGACTTGGACAGCAGCAGAACGGGTGACAGACGATGAAACTGAGTTCTCTCAAATGAATGCTGACACTGATGTGCGATGGCCACATGATCGGTTAGTATATTTAAGTTTGTGAATATTCGCAGATATGTTTATGGCGAGACAGCATGTGGGAATTCTGGGTAAGAATTTAGGTCCACAGGACATGTCGTGAAACGATTGGATGTACATCCTTGTGCCTTGGTTGACTTAAGTACTCCATTTTCATGGATTGGTGCTTATGATGTCTATCACTGGATTGAGTGTCAGGTTAGACCCAATTTAAGGACTGCAGTTTTATAGCTTATATAGCTTGCAGAGTGGAGTGTTAATAGACAAACAACAAACATGGTTAGACATCACTGGAATAGATACCATTGGTCGTATCCAACTAGTCCACTACTCATTTCCAACATGTGGTTATGTTGCATGTGTAGAGTGTTTAGATTTTTTATATACATACTCCAGATTGTTTCAAATCTTGGACAGTTAACATGGCTAACAGACCAGTGGTCATGCCTACCCTTGCACAACCACAGTGCAGCGTTTAGGAAGGAAATTCAGTAGCGGCATTTCCTTCTGGGTCTCTTTTCATTTACCCACCACCTATTGTTCTAGGTGGGCAAATCACTAAAGCGAAATAATCCTCTAGAAAATCCTTGTGTAGTATTATTAATATCATAGGTTGATGACAACTTGTCAGCAGATAATTTCTGCAGGCTCTCAAAACTAAAACTAAATCCCTTATGCTCTGTATGTGTTCCAGTAAGACCACAGTTAACAATCAGTTGTATGGAACACTAGCTGTGTTATATAATCTGGTTTTATTGATTAGTTTACCTTTATTAGGGCTTCCACGGGTACTCGAGGACGAGTCGGGTTTAGCTGAACTCGAGTCCATTTTCAAGGACTCAAGGACTCGAAAAGGGGAGAAAACTCGAATTATTGACGTTGACAGACTGTCTGCCATGTGCTTAGCATGAGCGGCCGTTAACGTCTAATATTAAGATAAGATATAACTTTATTATCCCAGAGGAAATTCTTATACATCCAATCTGTCTCAAAATAAATATATACACAGTTCACAAAAATATACACAATAATTACATGCTCAAAACGAATGCTATTTACAAATAAAACTGACATGATATAATTCAATTAACCACATAGGTAAAGAGGCTGAATAATTTTAGTTCTAATCACATGATGGTGATTCAAAATATTTGTTGCATTCACGAATACTTGATGGTATGAAAGACTGTAGAGCTCTGTTTTGAGGGAAGGTAATCGACAGCAGCATCCAGAAGGAAGTAGTTCAAAATGGTGAGATCAAATATGTCAACTATCAAATCTAATTTTAGCTGTCTTTTTGACTATATTCTCGAAATACACTCCAGAAATTTTGCAAGCAGTATTAACAATTTTGAAAAGTCTGTTTTTGTTAAGATGAGACAGATCCCCATACCAACATAGAAAATTGTAGGTCAACACACTTTGAATAAAGGTTTGATATAAAACTGTCATTACGGTTTTGTCAATGCCTTGACGATAATAATGTTCAGAATCAGAAATTAGGCCAGTAACAGTGGCGTCATCTGCAAATTTCACAGTAAACGAGTCATATATTGACAAGTAACAGTCATTGGTATACAAAACGAAGAGTAGGGATGAAGGAACACAGCCATGTGGATCTCCAGTAGAGGTTGAGAGAAATGAAGATTGATAGCCATTGACACTGACATACTGAGTTCTATGTACCCTGAATTCTTTAACCCATCTGATAATTTGTTTGAGTGGCATTTTTAGAAGTTGAGACGTACAATATGGAACACGTTTTTATGGATAACAACTTTTTTATTTCGTGCATCTGATAATGTTTTTATTAACACCTAGATTAAATAGTTTACACCTCACACTGTGTGGCTGTATGGTATTAGTTGTTACAAGTCTGCAGATGAGAGTAAATATTATACATCGATTGAGATTTCACTTCTTAAAATGATTAGGTAACTATCTTGACAATTGATCGTTTGCTTGAAAGGTATGAATTTCGAGTACTCGGGTCCGAGTCGAGTCTCACCCCTCGAGTACTCGAGTCCAAAAAAATGGACTCGTTGAAGCCCTACATCTTATTCAACGTGTTTGTTCATTTGAGGTTCTTTATTATGTAATTTATTTAATTTTTGGTTTGTTCAACGAAGATCACACACTATCACGCCACATCCCCCTTGCACTAGCATCACAGCACGATCCCATAAAAGCTGTTACCCCTTTCTGTCTATTTAAAACTACCTGATTACTAAGTTTGCACTGTCTAATCCTGAAGTTATGGTGTGTGTTTTAGTTGTGTTGTCCTGTTTCATTATGTATATATTTATGACAGATATGTGATCAGAGAAGTAATGTCTGCTTGTTCTTGTTGGGAATATGACAAATAATACTTCACTCTTAGTGAGAATGTTTAGGTGTTCAGTGTTCTTTTATGTTTTATGATTTTATTTTTCCACCTGTGCTTTTTGGGTAAATATATTGTTTCACTTTACCCCAACATTAGGGGTAAATGAACATTGAACCCATCACTTTACAATTACATCATTTTTGTGGTGGAAATAAACCGTCAGGGATCGAAATAGTGCTTAAATTAATAGTGGCATGCATGAAATATTTTCAATGTGTCCACACTAAAATTATGAAAATAATCAAATGATTCAAAACATATCTTTGCCCTCAATCAAACTGTAGGTGACATTCACAATCTCACAACCGCCTCCGTGGTGTCGTGGTTAGAGCGTCCGCCCGGAGAGCCGAAGGTCGCGGGTTCGATCCCAGGCCGGGTCATACCAAAAGACGTAAAAATATGGTACTTGTTGGTCCCTGCCTGGCTCTCGGTATTAATGGGTACAACAAGGACTGGTCGGCTCAGAGTCAGTATAATGTGTCTGAGTGGGGTATTAATGCTTCACTGCGGCATGGTATCTCAGTGGCCTGGCACTATAAAACCAGCTTCAGTCTGGGCTAGTACAAGCAGCCGCACATACACACACATGCATGCATGCACGTCGTCATATGAGCGAAATATTCTCAAGCACGACGTTAAACCCAATTTCACCTCACCTCACAATCTCACAGCTTAAGGGCATGGTCATCATTTGAGGGGGCAGTGGGGTAGCTGAGTGGTTAAAGTGTTTGCTTGTCACACTGAAGACCCGGGGTTCGATTCCCCACATGGGTACAATGTGTGAAGCCCATTTCTGGTGTCCCCTGCCGTGATGTTGCTTGAATATTGCTAAAACTGGCGTAAAAGCATACTTACTCACTCACTCATCATTTGAGTTTATCGCATTTTCCATTAAACGAATCATAGTGAGTACTTTTTATATAATTTTAGTCTTATTCACCCAAGGGCACATTGAAAATATATCATCCATTCCATTTCAATAGAGTGGAAGCTGTCAAAACCCCGGAGCTGTCCAATCCGGCAAGTTGTCAACACCGGCATAGAAAGCCAGTCCCGTCCATGACTATAGTCTGTTTGGCTCAAAATCGGACCGATGAATTGCAATCTAACTCAAAAAGTAATAAACATATAATACTCAATGAAACACTGATCATAATCAAAACATCAGACCAACTCTGTGAGTCTTTTGCAGAATTTATGTCCTAAACATAAAAATAGTTATTTGACAAACTATCATTAAAGTTTTGACACAGTTCACTATTTGTTACAAGGGAGGAGTGCAAAGAGAGGAACAGCCAGGTGTACGTGAAGCATGTGCACAAGTGCCGACAAAGTCATTGATTCATTTAGTATTTACCTGTGCTGTGCCATCTCCATCCTTTCTCACACACCTGGTTGTTCTTCACTTTGCACTCTTGCCTCGTAAACCGGATTCTTTCTTTAGTCCCGACGAGTGCTGGTTTAGACAGGTTCCACTGTATTTACTAGGGCTGTGACATCACGATACATATAAGTGTGTTACAGCTATCGTATCGTCGACTTGTGTATCGATACCAAACGATACATGACTTTTTTTCAAAACAGTATTATCTTAAACATGTTAAAGTACTTATTTAGAGAAACATGTGCAAATATGATAGAGTTACGTGTTTGTTTATTACAATAGTGTTATTGTTATACACAAATACCTTGTAATAAATCATTTTAAATCTTAATACTGTGTCATTCTTTCAAGGTGTATGTGTCGCGATATGTATCGTATCGCAGGTAAAATATCGCAATACGTATCGTATCGTGACATAGTGTATCGTCCGAGCCCTATTATTACCGTGCCATGTAATTTAAGCACTGTTTGATCCATTATTACTGTTCAAGTCAGCACAATTGTTCAGTAAAACATAAGTATCACATGGTGTCTGTGGTGAAACTACAAACCATTAGCCTTCATTATATCACACTAATTGTTTTGTTTACTGTTTCCTTGTGAAAGGATTTTTGGAATAATCTTGGATTTCCTGTGTAGGTGGTTTGTGATCGGCGCCAGGGTGAGTGTTGATGAGTGTCGGTGAGTCGAGATCAGGAGACAAGGATGATTCGTGGATATGAAGACCCTGCAGAGAAGCCATTGTTTGGGGAACCCAGGCCGGTGGTATGTGCAGATAGTTATTTTTGTTTGAATAAATGTTCCATTCAAAATTTATGTTTGCACCCAAACTTGGTCCCTAGAGTAATCCCAGTATGTTGTCTGGTCCTTGTGTCGTGATATAATTCGTAAAGCTCTTCTGATCGTGTTGTCTGGGTGCTGTTGTGCAAAGCAACCTGTTGTGAGTGAGTAATTTTGGTTATAAGCCACTTTTAGCAATATTCTGCAATGTTACTTTTGGGGTCACCAGAAATAGGCTTCACACATTGTACCCATGTGGGGAATCGAACTTAGTAGGTAACCTATTGGTTGAAGCACTCACTCACCATGCTGAAGAGCCGGGTTCGATTCCCCACATGGGTACAATGTGTGAAGCCCATTTCTGGTGTCATTCGCCATGATATTGCTGGAATATTGCTAAAAGCAGTGTAAAACTAAAGTCTCTAGACTGGACTGCTGTGTTAAATGGAAAGCGTAGCTCTGCCATGAACCTGGTGAGCAACACTGCCTATTTACTGCTGTTCTGGTGGGTATATGATCTGGAATAAATTATCTTCTGTTTCAGGACCGAGTCTTGAATCTGGTGGTGGGCTCATTCACTGGTTTAGTGGTTTTGGTGAGTTATTTGCAAAGAACTTTTAAAGGTGAAGTGTTTTAACAAAACTGAACATATACACTTAAACACAGTTGGGTTGAAGTTAAAGAGACCTATGCAAACACTCTCCTACCCAGAGTTCCATGCGGCAAGCCAGCATTGTACCTCTGCCACAGGCCACAACAATGTGACGATTCGTCACATCTTGCAATGTCCATTCAATATGATGTACAGATTTCTTTTACTCTTTTATTTTTGACGAGTCTACACATCTAACTCAACATCTTTAATAGAATGGTTTAGTTTCACTGAGAAAATATCCAAAAACATGTAACACTATTTCGATTGGCGTAGCGATCCTTTGTTTACGTAGGTTGTACGGCTCCACGTGCTGTCATCGAAGCTGATGGAGAGCAAACGATGTAGCCAGTTTGATATCTAAATATGTACTGTCATAAACCTTACTGTCGCAGTTGTGGAAGAATATATATGTAACAATGTAAAACATTATGAAGAGAGCCCCGAAAAGTTTTCGTGAGTCCAGTCTCTTCTTATTATGAATATGCGTGTTTGATTACAAACAAGAGAAAAGTCCGGTCACGTGATATGCAAATTAGCCTGTGGCAGTGATGATATGTTAAGTCATCGCTGTGCCGGAGTGTGCTACGCAAATACTTTGAGTTATCCGAGGTTTCACGGAGCCCCAAAATGATGACTAAATAGGGAATAAAGACGAAGGTTGTAGGTTGTACTTTGAAACAACAGTAAGTTTGACACATCAAAGTTTGGGGGCAGAGGGGTAGCCTAATGGTTAAAGTGTTCGCTTGTCACGCCGAAGACCCGGGTTTGATTCCCCACTTGGGTACAATGTGTGAAGCCCATTTCCGTTTTCTCTGCCATGATATTGCTGAAATATTACTGAAAGTGGCGAAAAAATAAACTCTCTCACTCACTCACTCACTCACATCGAAGTTCGACACAACAGTGTTTGAGTGCATGGAATATTTTTCTCAAACGACCCAAGGGCATTCCTAAAAATGTTTTTGTGTGCCCTTTGGAATTTAAGTGTATAAACAAGATTGATTTTGATCCACTTTGATAATAAACATTTGAAAATTTAGCCCTTCTTTTTGCCCTGAAGCATGAATCCATATATACTGAAAGCCATTAAAAATGCAATTTGACATTCATACTTTCTTTACTCACACTAATTTCAACATATATAAACCTAACTGGCAGATATGTTTTAAGTGAACATCTGTGAATAATTTCATCTGAAAATGTCCAGTCAACAACAACATCAGTGACGCAACAACGACATCACACAAAGGAGGGGTCACTTGCAGTCAATATCGTGTGTGTCCACCGTGCGCTGCAAGACATGCTCACAGTCTTTGGGGCATTGAAAGACACACATTTCTCAGGAACAGCTGTTGGATGGTCTGCAGCCTCTGATGGTCTGTGGTCTGATGATGACACCACCCCCTCCAAAACGATCATGTTCAAGGACACAGTTTGGCGCAAGTCTTTCTCCTTTACGTCGATAAATCTGTTGACGTCCATCTGCAAAGGATAAGTTAAACCTGGATTCATCTGAAAAATTGACATCTGGCCATGTCTTGGTGCCGAGATTGGCCCCATTTGCTGCCCTTCGCTGTCTGGCAAGTCTGTGGCGATGTAATAAGGTTGGACCACGGTACGGGTGACGACACCGGATGTTGAAGGCAGCAAGGCGTCCTTGCACCTTTTGGGCGCTGAAATGATGTTGACTTGTCCCAATTGTCCTCCTTGCCTAATCATCAGCTGTTTGGAACCGATTTCGCAAGTGTGAAACTCGTATATTGTGGTTTTGTCGAGCTGTAATCACAGGTGGTGCACCAGGTCGCGGACGATCAGCAACACTTCCGGTAGCCCAAAAACGTTGTCTGATTCGACTTACAGTGGATGGATGCACATTAAAGTGCCTGGCAATCATCACATCTGAAGCACCTTGGCTGACCATACCGTTAACCTGATTCCTTTCGTCTTGTGTCAAGTGTGGCATTTTCTCAAAGTGATTGAGTTCCACAATTCCTTGTGCTTTTACAGGGCCTGGGTGCAGGTAATGCATGTGCACAACGTGTTTCATGAATGTGGTTGTGTTTACAAGAAATGTCAAAGGTTCAGTTTTAAGTATCAAAGTTCATGTGAGAGGAATGCTCTGGGACTCGAACTTCGAAATGGGCCAGAATAACAGCCTTTTATCCCTACATCCTCTGTATCGCAGGAAAAAATCTTCAATAGAACTTTTGTAAGTTTCAGGACAACAAATACCAATTGCGTTTTTAATGGCTTACAGTATATATATATGAGCTAGATGCAAAGAAACCAGAACTGTACCTGTGCTTCATATCGCCAGGCCATGGATAGTCATGGAATTTGTCCCTCCAAATCTCAGTATTGTGGTGTCCTAAATATCAGTATGATATCGTGATGCCCTGTTATTGTTCTACCCATGAACATCCAGGTTAGAATGTCAGCAACCCATGCTTGTCGTAAAAGGAGACTAACAGGATCAGGTGGTCATGCTTGCTTACTTGGTTGACACATGTATCCCTATTGCGTAGATCGATACTCATGCTGTTGATCACTGGATTGTCTGGTCCAGACTGTGCCATACAGCTGGAATCTGACCAAGTGCTGCAGTAAACAAACAAACAAACTAAACAAATGTTATTGTTCTCTGGGAAGGTCACATTGACATTGTTTGGCATCAGCATGACATCAAAGGCACTTTAACATTACAACTGTTCAAAGTTTCCTCAAGCACTCCATTATTTTATATCGCAGTGGTGGTTGTAAGTGGATGAGCCACTGAAGGTGATTTGCTCTTATTGCAGTTACTGTTTAGTGTTGCATCCCTTTGATCTACTGACCTTGGGTTAACATATAACTCACACCGACTGTAAACCATACTCACTCGCTCACTAAAAGCATTTTTACTGTTGTACAGCCCAAAAATCTTTTGTGGTTTGACATGTGAATTTGTACCTTTATCAAATCTAAGTATCATGTGTAAGTTTAAGTACCAGGTATCAATTTGCAGGTGACTCTGGTTGGGGCTTTCGCAGCCAAAGGGCCCATCAATGGAGTGGACGTCTTCTTTGCCTGTGTCATTGTTCTTATCTGTGGATCCCACTTGGTACTGGTAAGTTGTCAATACCTGTCAACTGGAAGTTAATACAGTGATTATCTGTCTGGAATAGGGTCTCAGTAAGCCATGCTTGTCACAAGAATCTGGTTGGTGTACATACGTGGAAACTCTGTCAAATGATACATGGGATCATTCAGCTTGTATAATCGCCACTCCCCACACCAGTGAGAATGTTTTAACAGGAACTCTTGATAACTACAGATGAATAGATCCGTGAAGATCTGGGTTAGAATTGGTCTTCAGCAACCCATGCTTGTCATAAGAGGGGACTAACGGGATCGGGTGGCCAGGCTCGCTGACTTGGTTACACATGTCATCATATCCCAATAGCGTAGATCAGTGGTCATGATGTTGATCACTGGATTGTTTGGTCCAGCCTCGATTATTTACAGACCACCGCCATATAGCTGATATATTGTTGAGTGCAGCGTTAAACAACAACAAAACCAAACCAAACAAATGAATATATAAATATTAAGTGTGGAAACAGACGGGTCATGTGGAACTCATGTCAACAAGCCTCTTGACTATAATACCATAGGTCTAGTTCCACTATTTGTCGAAAAAAAGAACCTAGGGAGCAGTATTTTATCTATTAACTGGCTAAGTATGTCTCTTTTTTTTCAGATTTACTGGTATCGTCAAGGTGATCTGGAGCCAAGGTTCCGATCGATGATCTACTACAACGCATTCAGCATTATTCTGCTGTGTGTCTGTGGTAATCTGTACATATATGGCATCGGGTGCAAGAAGTGACGACAGCATATATAGAACTGTTTATATATCAGTCACTGGATAGGATGCAAGAAGTGGTGAAAACCGGGAATACCTAGAACATCTTGCATGTCAATCGCTGGATATATAATGACTTGTGGTTTGAACTCAATCATTTCCCAGTAGGGTGTGGTTTAAGTAGCAACTGAGTTTGTGTATTTTTTTCCCAGCAGTTCCCGGGGTCTGTTTACAGGGTGTGTATTTTTTTAGCTTGTCAATCTGTTTCTGACCTACTCATTTCTTGTTCACCTTCTGTTATGGGTGTGCCACCACTCTCCTCTGCATTTTTACATGTGTAAGTATATTTACTGGCAAACAAGGATAAGTTGAGCACTGACCTGACAATTGACCCGTATTAGCATGTATGAGTGCCGCCCACTGGCACTTGCCATTGTTAGCGAAGGGGCCCCAGCTTGTCCACAATCAAGTGTAGTGCGTTGGGTGAAGCAAGGCTCAAGGCGTGTGCAGCTCACGCGGAATCAATTTCATCGTCATGCACTGCTCATGCACTGCTGATGCACTAGCCTTTATCTGCTCTACCTTTCACAAACCAAATGGGTTTGCTCATTGCCGAGCACCGCCTACTTCTCGTAAACCCGTTCTCTGCGCCATTCCAACTTATCCTTGTTTGCCAGTAGTTGGACACGCGGAGTAAGTTCTTCATGGAGAGTATCTTGAAATTGAATTAATATTTAATGAAACAAGATGTTATTTAAGCCATGTGCTGAAAGATGGAATGGCTAAAATAAGTGTACTCTCTGCATGTACTGTCTCTGAGATGAATAACTATTGTTACTAAGCTAATGAAATAGAATATGTAGTGACTCAACTCATGGATAAACTTAGTGCAAACACAACCATTAAAGCTATGTGTTGAGTGTACAGTCAATGCTATGCATCTGTTGCACATCAAGCAGGAAACAGTTTAAATATATTCCTCATGATTTATTGATCAAAACTTTTGGGACAGCGGGAGAGGATTTTATGGCATAATTTCACAAGTCCAACAGTCCTACCTTTGTTCCTGAGTTGTGTGTGGGCTCAGCTGTTGTGTTATTGGGATTGCTATGAATCTGTGACATAATGTGTGGATATTATTGATGTTTCCTTGCATTGGTCTGAACACTCTCTCGCTGATACCAGGCTGTAGATTGATTTGTTCGTTAAAAATATGACTCACCTGTGAAGATCCGAGTTAGAATTGATCTTCAGCAACCCATGCTTGTTGTAAGAGGCGACTACGGGATCGGGTGGTCAGGCTCGGTGACTTGGTTGACACATGTCGTAATATCCCAATGACGTAGATTGACGATTATGCTGTTGATCACTGGATTGTCTGGTCCATTTACAGACCGCCGCCATATAACTGGAATATTGCTGAGTGACATTAAACAACAACCGACCTACTAAAAATATGACTACAATTAACCTGTCAGTTCGTATTGGCAGGTGATGGAAAAATGCAGTGTTTAAACATGTAAATTATGAGAAAGTAGGTAATACTCAGTCATATTGAAATAGATCCAGTCAGATGTCTGTGTTGGAGGTTGCCCATTCATTCATGCTTTGGCATTTATGCTAATGCTTTTAGAATGGAAAGCATGTGTTTATCTTTGGACTCACTCACTATGCATAATATATTTGCTATGACGAATATACATGATCGCTTTTCAGGAATTTTGTTAGTCTGGACAATCCCATTGGGAACGGAACTATGTGATTAGAAATGTATGCTGTTTTAAGAAACTGACAGCTTTTGCAGCATAAGCATCATGAGACGAGGAACTGAGCCCAGTCAGGGAACTTTGGACATCATGATTGATGTTGACTTGCGACTAGAATATGTTGTTTGTTTTGTTAAAAATGTGAGAAAAATATCATATGAGAGGACATAAGCGAACCCCCTGAATGTTGAACTTTTGTTTTAATACGCAAGAAGGGCTTGAATTTCATGTTTAATCTTGTGTAGTACTGTGTAAGTTCATGGGTTTGTAGTGAGGATCAAATGTAGAGTGTTGGATTCATTTTTCCAGTTTATGCACCCTTTGACATTTGTAATATCTAAAGCCATTTTTTGTTAGAGAGAGTTATGACTTGCACAACAGGTGCATTTTAAAGAAGTAGGTAGTGCCAGTGGTTTGAAGTAAAATATATTTATTTCTTTACTACAGCTTGTTCAGCTTGACCTGAGCTACTCTACATATGCATGACCCATGAGGTCAAGTGGCACTCACAGCAGGTCGAGTTAACCTCATTAAATAGGGCAGCAGAGAATGTTAAATGGCGACCTTGTCTCGGCTGTTCGGACATGTTGACAATCAACTGCCAAAGGTGCACCCCTTCACAATAATAGACCCAACCAGTTGTGACACGGTCACGCAAAGCATTAGTATTCACTTGATCAGGTCAAGCTGAACAAGCTGTAATGAATAATGATTAGAAACGTAATGATCAAACAGTTTAAATTTGGGCTTGTCCATGCCTTCGACACTATTCTTGTACTACTAAAAAAGTTAAGAACCAATGAATTATTTCATAGTATTATACATGTAGTTAATCGATCATGCTATGATTGGTTATCTAGAGGTCCTTAACGTTTTTAGCAGTAAACGTTGAACATTCGTCAAATCTTGCAGTTTTATCAAAGACAATTAGGAGTATGTTTTGTATTTCACGTTGTTTTATTTTTCTGGTCATGTCATAGGAAGTGTTTTTATTTTTATTTGCTGTAATAGTCAGTAATTGTTATCATTGAACAAGGTGAACAATGTTTGGTGTGAATAATCTACCATGGAGTAGACTGTTTGATCTCTCGGTGTTCAAGTCCACCATTGATATAGGACAAGAACATCACAACGACATCATCCAATGTTAAAGCCAGCATCTAGTCCTTCTGTTGCTTTCAGTTGTTTGAACTTCCACTTTGAGTTTTAAGTTTAAAGTTTCAGAATTTGATTTCAGCCAATAGGTCATCCATATTTGGTATGTTAGTATGTTAATATCGTACAAGCTTCTGGGTAATACCCGTGGAAGGTCTGCTTATGTTTGTAAGTGTAGTCAAACATTCCTAGTTAACGCTTCATCTTCAGTTTGGCTGTTATTTTTGTGATATGAAGCTTTTGGTTGTGTTATGAAGCTTTCCTATTCAGAAGCTTTAAGTCCGAGTTTACAGCCTGTACCATGATTCATTCATTGTACCACATCATCCATTGTACAATGTATCATTCTGTGCTATGATAAGTTATTGAAGTAAGGTGTTTTTACAAAATGAAACATAACTTCTTTGGATGTAGTAGTATGTTATAGTTGTTTTTCCTTTATAAATCTATAGGTCTTGATTTATGGGAATATCATTCTGGACAATGAGTGTTTCTAGTGGGGCTTTGCTTGTTATTCTTGAGGCTTAGCTTGTTCTTGAGGTATATGTTGTTCTTGAGGTATATGTTGTTCCTGAGGTATATGTTGTTCCTGCAGCTGATCTTGTTCTTGAAGTATATTTTGTTCCTGAGGCTGAGCATGTTACATATTGTTCATCTAAATGACAGGGTACTTCATGCTTGTTTTCAACCAATTGTTTAACCCAGTTCAATGCTAGTGCTTGAAGCATGTGAAGAAATATGTTGACAGATAATTTGACCACAGCAAATCTTGTTATTTCCTTCACATTTTGGTTGTATGTTTCCGTGATTGTTAACTAGAAGTTGTGTGTGCTTGTAGTTAAGGTTTCTTGTGAATAGTTGAGCTACTTCCTCAGATCCCATTGTAAATAACGGTTCATGTCAGGAGGATCGCAGTGTGGATCAGAGAATGAACAAACTCTGTATTTATAGCATCAACTGTTTAACTCCAGTAGAAGTATCCTACAATACAGGGTCTTGTTTTATAAAGTGTTTTGATACTGACTGTCTCATAATATCATCCAAGTACTGTCCACACTCACAAGCCATTGTGGACAATCAATCCCCATTTGTGAAACAATCATGAGGCATGTACCTGTTCCAACCAGGGACAGATTCAGACTTTAATGCCAGCCAACAAGTTGTTGTCCGTCATTTTCACTGGGAGACCTGTGTTAGAATAACTTTCAACATCCTGTTGCTGATCAGGCTAACTTTCAACAGTCACTCTAACACAGCCAGGACATTGCTTTTCCTTCGTGTCATGTAACCATGGTAACATCTTCATAACGACAGCGGCGGTGGGGTAGCCTAGTGGTTAAGGCGTTCGCTCGTCATGCCGAAGACTTTGGTTCGATTCCGACACATGGGTACAATGTGTAAAGCCCATTTCTGGTGTCACTCGCCGTGATATTGCTGGAATATTGCTAAAAGCGGCTTAAAACCAAACTCACTCACTCACTCACTCATAATTACATCTTTCCATTTCCTTACACAATGTGATGTAGCATAAAATATTTTCAGAGAAGTGATGTATGAGAGTAGAGCATTTGTCAGGCGTGAAGGACAAAATGCCAGGCAGGACCTGACTTACATCCGTTCAAAATGCCAAGTGTCCATTTTGTCAAATCAGCATGTTAAGTATTTGTGAAGTATCCATTTTTTCAGCCTCAGAAATGGACAGCTGTCTTCTGCAATTTTCTGTTATTTATACACACTGAAGATCCCTCTAAAAAACAGTGGCGCCTCATTGCCAAAATAGTTCTTGACAATATGATCATCAATCTGTTACGGTACGAGATTTGCAAAGTCGCAGCGCCAAGATTACTTTGTGCAACTGGTCCTGAAATATTTCCTATATTGTCATCCATGACATATCTGTAAATACATGTTGTATTATGTAAAAATGATTGCTCTTTCCGCTGTGTGCAGCAGAGAAGCAATATTCTTACATGACCTTTACCTCCAAGTGAGGGCACATGGCTTGTAGGGACCCCACAAAGGGCTTGGTTTGCAGTCCAGTGTAACAGGACTTGCTAGAAGAAGTCTTACATTTTGAATGGCATCATTAATATCTATTGTACAGTATTTATCTTTTTGTTCACATGTTCTGCCTATGTAATGTAAATATTTATATAAATATTGTATCAATACGCTAGCTGCTGTTTTGTTATCTTCAATAGTCAGTCATCGCCGTCGTCTCAGTTATACATGGGATTAATCCCAAGTCCCAATAAGTCCGCATGAATCACCAGTCATTACTGATATGTAACTATAATACATTGTCCCTGCATTAAAAACATTTTAGTATATTCAGCCACATTTATCTAAACAATCCACCAAGGCCATCACAAAAAAGGTTTCGGTCACCTGACCTAGTCATGTAAAAGTTAAATATTCATCCCAACCAATAAAGGGGCGGTGGGGTAGCCTTACAGTTCAAGTGTCCAATCATCACGCTGAAGACTCCCCACATGGGTACAATATGTGAACCCCATTTCTGGTGTCCCCCGTGGTATTGACGGAATATTGTTAAAAGTGGTGTAAAACCTCACTCACTCCATACCAATAACGGTTGACATGGCCGATCTGCTTGCACCTATATTGAACTCAAGAATAAAAACTAAACAAGTCACTGACTGAAGTGTTGGCATAACTGCTGAGTTGTGGAGATTCGGGTACAGAAATGTTCCCCAACAATCTATGCTTCAGATGTGTTTCATTACAACATGGTGCTTGGGACAATGCTCATGACATCAATCACTGTTTTTGTCTGGCCCTGAGTGTTTTCATTAAACAGCCATAATATTTCTGCATTAAATCACATACAATACCTTTCTGCATGGCTGTTTAGTTGCATATATTAAGAATCTTGATGCAGGTCACAACAAATCACAAGACATTGTTTAACATGTTTATTTTCAAAATCAAATGTATTAGTACACAAACTCAATATTTTGAACCTTTGCATATGGAAACTGAAATTCATCAGGGCATAATAAATATGTTGCAGCAGGTGGGTTGAGGGCTGCTTGAAACAAATCCTTTCAGTTCGCACACTAGCATCACTGAGAAACACAATACACATCTTTACCACTTGATGAGGATGATAGGACAAGGGGAGTAACTCTCCAGCCTAGAAAAATGTAGCCTAGAACTGTTAAGGAACCGAAAGTAACAATGACAGTCCCCTATTTAAAGCACATCCCTACTCACTTTCACAAAACATTCAAAAGAGGCATGTATCATCTTTTGTGATGAGCTTGCAGAAGGGCTAAACGCTCAAGTAACGATCTGTCTATTAATGGTAGGCTCAAACAATAGAATGAAGTCCCAGATGTGTTTCAATCTACCTTATGACAACACCGCAATGCAGTAATGCTATAATGACATGGATAAAATCTGAATTATACAGGTAGTAAAGTCAGAAGGATTTTTAAATAACTTGATTAAGTATTCAATTAAACAAAACAGATTTCCTAACACCAATTTTCAAGTGAGTGTAGCAATTAACCTTTACAACACATTAACACTTTCATAAACATTTGCAGTTAAAGTATATTTAAGTTGTTAAAGCATCACTTTGAAAGACATATCCAAGTGGACAAATTCCTCTACATGATAATGTAAGGTTGGGACAGGCAAACAGTTCTAATGTATATCAAAATATACAAAACTGTCATATACTTGATAACACCTCGATTTAAAACAAAGTTCATATTTCATTGTCAGAGATGGTTGAATACCAAATCCATAATCGACACACACCAATTTTACTTAACAGGTCTTGACAAATTAATTCAATCACTAAATTCATTGAGAAAACTCAACATTTTCATTGGGTAATCTGAAAATCTTACAGACACCAAGTTTCAGCACTTTTAGATGGTAAGTGGTAAAAAACATGAAATGGCTATCTCTCCATTTTCATAATTAACATCGCTGCACATGTACCTAATGTGCAAATAAATATTTAGACTATACAAAATGATACAGAAACTTCCAGATCGCAGATGAATGCAATGTCCCACCCAGCAGTTTATACATCTGTACGTATCAGACACCTGCATATATATATAATATATATAGACGTGTATCTAACAACACCTGCATCAAGGTAATATGCATAGAGCTCAGGTCACAAATCAGTTGAAGTTAAGCAACGCTTGGTGCGGAGAGTCCATGGGTGACCATGTTTGGCAGCTTGACTCCTAAGTGTTTCTAGGACTTGTCCTGTTCACCCAGCAGAAAATGGGTACCCAGTGGGATAAGCCATGAAACTGTTAACCTTCTAACGCCTCAAAGGCAGCTTGTGTTGTCGGGGTCATAATGTGCTGTGCTTTGATTGTAAGCACTATGAGCACTCACCTAGTGAAAGGAGTTTAGCGCATTTTAAATACACATTATCTGCAGAAGGAAGTTTAACATATTCGCAAGCATCAGACATCTCTTATAACACATACAGCACCTGTATGCGCAAGACACTTGCATATAACATATTGATTGTGACACAGGCAATAACATGTGTGCCTTGTTTTGTACAAACTTGTAAGAAGAACCCGATGTTTTTCACAATACAGTTTCTGTAGGGACCCAACTTATATTTTCATATTACATCAGCCAAGAAATACAAAACAGGAACTCATTTTGATTTGTATATGAGGTTAAATACTAAAACCACAGAAAATGCAGTTTGGTACTGGACAGTGCAAAACGACTTCCACACATTCAACTATTCCACTTTATTATATGGATATAACCAAACTTCCTTATGCACTATGATCCACGCAGCCTGGCTGTAACTACTGTGAAAGCAGCATGGAACAAGACAACTCGGTAATTTCAGACTGGTAATTTGATGCCCAGGTTATAAATAAATCATTTATCTACTCTAAGAAGGTAGATCAGGAAAAACTGACACAACGTAAACTGAGAAGCCACAATCACGTGTGACACGAAGCAGGAAGAAAAAGAGTCATTGTGGTAGAGTATAGAGGTGTACAGACAGGTTAGTGAACCTTAAATCCAAGGGTATGCAAGAAAGTCAACCTTGTAGTTACCAGCACCCCATACTGAAGCCCAATCAACAAATCCAACTAGAGACGTCTGTATATCACAGAAAGATGTATTTTGATGGAGAAAGAAAAGAAAAGTCACACTGAATTGTTAGTGCACAATATGGATGAACATTGTCAGCAGATCTACACAGACATCATTATGTCAAGTGTCACTTTAGTGATACATGCAATTACACTCATAAGCATATAGTGCCCCCATTTCTATCTCACTTTCAGTGTCATTCTCATCCCTGGAAAACTTTCATACAGCCACACCCACATAATCATCCGTACAGAGACTGCCATCCCTGTATGCAAATTGGCACATGTAGAAAACAAAATCACAATTGTCATAACCTGACATGCTTCATCACTGAACAGTTTACATAATGCCTTATTGTGACCATGACAAATGTAGTCTTGACAAAGTGCCTGGTTCAGATGACCTTGACCCAGGGGGAATTATCACTGTATGTCTTCACTCAGCCCAGTCTGACTCTTGTCAGTCTCACAGTCGGACGCTGATCCCATCAGTTCTGTTGCATCTGATGTGAGGATTGGATCTGTCAACACAATATGATAAGGAATGAGGAAGTTCAAGGGTTCCAATATCCCGCTCAGTATATGACAAATGATGAAATTGCAAAACTTCCAAATAAATATCACAAGACACACTGAAATAACTGACAACTAGCTTCTTTCTTGCCTTTTTCACAAATTTTGAGCTTCTGACAAGGTCCAATAAATAAGCTAAATTGTGTGAAGAAGGCTGACTTCAAGTGTATGAGCATGTTTGACCCAAAATAGATTTTTGAAATACTTGGTTTTTGTTCACAAAAGAGAAATGATATAATGTTGCCATAAATCCAAACCATGCAACTGCTGAACTAACAAAGTCTAGTTCTCATTCATAAGAATAAGTGACAACTTCAATCACAATTTCCTTTATTTTTGGATTCTGAGCACCCTAAAAGAGACCTTACCCAACCATAGATTCCCTGAGTAGCTTTCTCCTCATTCCAAACAAGGAGTTACAGCAGGAGGTTTAATCATTTCAGTGACACACAAAGGAAAAGCACATATGAAAAATGTTATAACAGCTACATCTAATTCAGAAACCACACACTTTCATTAATACAAAAGTTGTTTGGGAGAAGGAAACATCCTGAAATCGGACAAGACTTGCAGATATCACTCAGTCTTCATTTTTTTGAATTTTTTTACAAAATATAATTCCAATTACCAACATAAGGTCAAACTGTTATGAAATTGTTCACTTGAAAGTGATAAAATTCCTGATAGTTCTCTTACCTGAAAAGCCACTCATAAGTTCATTGCCATCGTTACTGTTGGACTGTGAGAAATGTGGCGGTGATGTTGGCTCGAGGACCACAATGTCAGCCCCCGAAGCTCCAGAACTCAACACTGACTGGGCCACATCTGATTGGAGATCTGCAGCGGACACAGCCTGTCAACGGAAGTAATTCACCATCAAACTCATTTTACACTCTTTTCAAATACATAATTAACTCATATAAGTACTTGGAAAGTTCAGCATTCAATACATTGCACACACTCATCACAGTGTCTTTGAAAAAGAGTTATATTAGGGATTATTAAAAATCTGGAAAAGTGTGGCCACACATGGCCTCAAATCCAAAATCGGTGGTGCAGTAGCCTAGTGTTTCAAAGCTTTCACTCATTACACTCAAGACCCGGGTCCGATTCCGATTCCCCACGTGGGTACAATATGTCAAGCCCATTTCTGGTGTCCAGTGCCTTGACATTGCTGGAATATTGCTAAAAGTGATGTAAAACTCAACTTAAACAAATAAGTAAAACATTAAATATATGAAGAGTTATTTTCACAGTAAAATATTCAACATGACACCTATTTTCAATGTTTTTAGTGTTATGTACACTTCCTTACTGTAGTAGCAAACTGTCCAGTAATTATCTCCCCTTGACCATCTATCATCTGACAAGCTTCACTGGACAGCTGGTACTGATGGCATTCTGCAACAATTCATTCAATTCATAACACATACACAGGGCAAATAATTTGATAAAGAAAGCATGTTCTCTTTCGAAACTATTTCATCTCTAAATGAATAAAACTTGATTATATCTACAACAGTCGATCTACGCCTCAAGAACACAGAATTTACAAGGGTCTTACAGTCCCATACACTTTCAAAACACAGAGTAACTAATAATATTACAGTTGGAAAGTTCATGAGGTCAATATTTTAACCACAGATTTTAATAAGAAGACTGACAACATGAAAAGAACCTAATTTCCTCAAAAATAAACATCTAAATTGCTAATGAGTCTGAAAAGATAAATGCAACGACTTGTGATGTTTCTGTGCATGTTGTAGCACTGTTAGTCATATATTTATTTACATATGTAAGCTAACCTTGCTCTGACGAGTCCATGCCGTCCGGCAGCTGAATGGAAGTGGTAATGACAGACCCGTCCAGGGAGCCGTCATCACTTGCTGCACTAATGATGACGTGGGGCTGGTGGTTCATCTGCACTGTCACATTCTCCCCACTCTTTACATGGCCGTCGGACTGATGGAGAAAGAGACAGTATTCTCATTCAAAAATGCATTCTTATGCAACATAGGCTTTCTACAATACTAGAATTGTCAGACTTTCTTGGCAGTATCTGGTTTGCTCAAGTTTACTGCTTTACTTCTGAATTATTAGGGTCGGTGGGATAGCCAAGGATATTGCTGGAATATTGCTAAAAGTGGCGTAAAACATAATTCACTCACTCTGAATGATAATCAACACCTCTACAGCTCTTATCATACTTTTTGTACAAATATACTGAACGGACCATTTCACTCAAACTAACAACAGATACATCACACATAGAATATTCATATTTTCTTTAAATATATGACCATGCAATATAGATACCCTGTATACTTGTATTTTACCCCATGTAAGAGATATACAGAATTGTTTTAGAAATATCAATGTAAATACAGAACTATAAGATACATCCAAGTTGTTGTACCTGTGACACTGGTAGTGTGTGGACGATGATGTGATCTGTGGACATGGTGCTGGCGCCGCTGAAGGAGACAGCAGGGTTGTTGTGAGGTTGTGTGATCAGCAGTGCGTTAGAGTTGCCAGGTGTCCACTGCTGCAGGACCTCGTAGGCCTGGAATGTTGGCTCCGAGTCCTCCCCGTCTAGAGACACACCAGGCTGTAGACTCACCGGGACCTGCAGGCCGATCTCACCATTGGCCTGACGACCCTGCACTCTCAACCTCACCCCTGGGCTCTTGATGCGAACGTTCTGGTAATGCATCGTCTTCAGGATTTCAATGATATCTTTGAATGGAAAAGTCAATTTAATTTCATATTGATTTGCGTATCAATACAACTATCCAGAACAACATTCAAGTCACACTAAATAGCTTCCAGTAGATTGAATTCAGAATAGGTGTTTCCCTTTACAAACAAGAGAAAACTCTGTTTACATGAAATGCAAAGTAGCTTGTGGTAGTGGTATAGTGCTCAGTAATCACTGCTATGGAGTGTGTTGTAGAAAGAAATACACCCTCATGATAATCTCTATTTACCTGCAAAGACAAGGTCCTGGTAGTCGGGCACATGCCTCTTGAGTGACCACCACTTGCCTCGTAGCCACTGGGGGGAACGCACACTGAAAACAGGATCACAGTCATATCAAACTTGTGTCAAGGGACATGTAAACTATTTTGACAATGACAGTATAAATGATGCATATCTACTCAAACATTAACACTAAGACAGACAGAGAAATCTGACAATTCATCCATCCTGCAGTGAATTTACTATTGTGTTTTAGTTACTGTGTTACCTTGACCAGTCGCTAGAAAGTTCGTTCCAGTCAATCTCAGTGTCATCCGAGGCTCCCAGACTAGCAATTCTGAAACAAACATGACATTTACTGTTTATAATTCTAATGTAGTGGTAATAATAGTGCCAGCAGAATTATTGTAAATATTTCTCTAGTAATTATCAGTGGCAGCAAATAATTTAAGTGCTGGTTCCTTTTCTTTATGGTTTTCGTGGAGCTTAACTTATCTACCCTTGGATGGATACATGTACATGTTAAGCTTGATGTTAGCTTAAGATGTGTCATGATTGGAAAGTTTCTAGAAGACTGTCTGTACATGTATTAACAGTGACAAGAATGTGATACAGGTCCTTTTCTGTCCAAACTTCTAATCTTCTTTCCCAATGTGGTTAGAATACCTATCTGAAAATATCAAATTCCAACTGTATGTTGTATTCAAGTACGCCTTTCTAAAAAAAAAAAACGAAAAAAAGTCTGAACTAGGGCGATCAAGTGATTGACTTCTTGTACACTGTTCAACACAGCATGGACATGACTACATACAATCAACAAAGTCACCAAGTCTGACCACCTATTCAATAAGTCCCTTCTAATAACAAATATAGGTTCACCATGAATCCTTACAGGTGTATTGGATAGTGGGGTATTCTGTTGTGAAACTGTTAAACAACACAGAATCCATGTCTCACTTGAGTATAAGATTGATGTCGTCTTGACGAGTCCACTCGGACCCGCCTTTCTGCTTCCAGTTGAGGTAGTTGAGCCACTTGGTTCTACACTGTTTCTCAGACCTTGTCCCCACTCTCTCTGCCACAGCAGCCCATGATAAACCGTGCGTGACACTCTCTCCTACAAAGCAATACACATTTATTGTTCTGAGAAAAAGTCATTTACACTTTCTTACGCAAGGTTAAGAACCTTTCAACAGTTGAAAGTACATGCTACTTTTCTGTTCCAGCAAGTATACCATGCCATACATAACATCTTAGCAATATTTCCCATAGATTTGAGTCTCATATGGACTATGTTTTCACAGAATCAAGAACATAACCTACCCATCTTTACTCCTGCAAGCTCATACACAGCAGATGCTAGTCTTCTCTCTTCTTCTGGCAGCCATTTTCCTTCAAACAAAGAGTACATGGAGATACTCGAGTGCATGAAGACAAAAGCATCTGTATGAATATGTTTAACATTAACTTTGCAGAAACTTGTCTGTGCAGAATTTATTGCAATCACTCACCTGCATTGCATGTGTCCTTCATCAGTCGGCATTTGTCCTTCACAGAAGATGCACTCCGACCTAGTACTGCTCCAATAGCTGCCCAGTCGTTGCCGTGCTTCATACGCAACCTGAAGTACACAGTGTTACTACGTGTATGCCAGCACTATACCAGCAAAAACATCAGAGGTGGAACATTACAGTCGGTCTCAATATGATATGTATCCCCATACTATGGGTGCGACAATTTTGTATCCCAATTCATTGCTTCAATTTCATGCTTTTTTCCCTTTCTGCAGATAAATCACAACCCTGAACCACTGGTTTTACATTTCAGTACCCGGTAAACAAAAATGGGACGTTGTTGAGACTGACTGACGGAGTTTGGTTTTACGCCGCTTTTAGCAATATTCCAGCAACATCACGGCAGGGGACACCAGAAATGGGCTTCACACATTGTGCCCATGTGGGGATTTGAACCCGGGTCTTCGGTGTGACGAGCCAACGCTTTAACCACTAGGCTACCCCACCGCCCCGGACGTTGTTGAGAAGAAACATAGGCACTTCAACTGCTATGTTATTATAAGCGAACCGGGAAATAATAGAAATACTGCAAAAGCTGTTTGTTTAACAATATCTGCTAATATTAACATGTTTTCACACCAATGCACTTGAAACATGAAGGAATGAATGTACCTCGGTAAAGGAATTGTAACCCAAAGAGTGTACCCTGTGTATTGTGCTAGAATACAGTACTATATCGCAACATAATGATCACAGAAAACACTTCCGAGGCAAACATATTTACCCGATTTGCATCATAATATCATGATGATTCAGTAAATCTTCACGAAATAATTCCAATCAGTGTAAATTACTTGCAATTTTAACATCTTACAAAAACCCTCATACAAAATTAAAGGAAGGACTTTAACACAATGAAACATGTACTGTACACTCACTCCCGAAGTTTGGTCATCTCCTCAGGGGTATATTTGCCCATGTGGTTCTTCTGGTCATACATGCGAGTTACTCGTCGGTAAACAGAGAACAGGGGCCGCTGTAAACCTCTGGCTATTGTGCGGTAGAAGTCCTTTCTTTCATCTTTCGTCATTTCAAAGATGATCTCTGTTGGGTCCTTGATGCCACGTTCCTGTTGGGAGGTGGAACTTTGTTAAATGTTTAACTGGCATAACACTCCTCCTGTGCAGGTTTAACCACTCACTCACAGCCCTATTCTACAGCCAAATTACTGTGCTAACAGACTTACTTCAATCACACAAACAAGTGTGAGTGAATGAGTTTTACGCCACACTCAACAATATTCCAGTTATATGGCGACGGTCTGTAAATAATCGAGGCTGGACCAGACAATCCAGTGATCAAATACATGAGCATCGATCTGCGCAATTGGAAACTGATGATATGAGTCAACCAAGTCAGCGAGCCTGACCACCCGATCCTCTTAATATTCTAACCCGGACCTTCAAGGGTCCTATCAGAAAAAACAGAGCAGTAAGTTGAGTTACCATCATCCAGACATTGCACTCTTGCTTCACTGTTTACAATTCTGCAATATTGTAAGTTTACTGTCTAGTTCTTAGTTTATTGAAGTCTTTAAGCAGAACACTCACTGTAGTATTTTAATTGACTTAGAACCTTGTCATTCATGTGAGGTCAGTGAGTCTGACCACCCCACCCTGTTAGTCGCCTCTTACGACAAGCATGGGTTACTGAAGATCAATTCTCGGGATTTTCACGGGTCATAAACAAATGTACCAAAGAAAGTTTTTAGTACATACTTGGAAAATCAGGGAGTAATATAAACTTAGATGCCATTTCATCCGATCCTGCTACCACTATAATGATTGCAATGAAGTCAAACTAATGAATGAAGGCCCACGCGGTTGAGAAGTTTGCTCTGAGATCTTTTTACAAGTGAGACACGAGCAATGATACTCACTTTGCAGTATGAATCGATATTCTCCATCAACAGATCCGTCTCATCCTTCGTCCACTGACCTTGTTTCCAGGTATGGCCTGTGAAACAATTTGATTTCAAAGACTAAAATGTAAGACCTGCCACTTCAACAATCACATTGATAAGGGAAGTAACTCTGTCCCACATATACCTTAATATTTTTAAAGGCATGTTTTGAAATAACACATTGATTCACAGGTATGTTTTCAAGTAAACACAATTTTTACACAAAGTCTACAGAATAATAAGTTATGATTTTTTCACGAACTACCCTAATCGAATACCACTGTCCTGTGAGTTAACGAAACAACATGTCTGACTAAAGGTTACTGCATTCAAGGTCACTCACTGAAGTTTTTAATGAGTGAGTTTGGTTTCACACCCTATTGAACAGTATTTGAGTTGCATCCAACAAGTCAGCTTGAAATGGGTTCAAAAAGGCCAAGTGATGCTGGTCTTAGATCATGAAAATATGTTCACTACGTTGGTGAAATTCACAAGACATATCCACGCCAAACATGAATTTAAACAACAATCACAGATTTCTGGCCTATGGGAGGAAACTCTGTGATACTAAAGACAACTTGGCAATCTATGACCCTGCTTTTTTTTATTGGATATTGAAAAGAAGCCTCACAACTTCTCACATTACAGAGCGAGCGAGCGGGAGAGAGTTTCATCTTATGCCGCACTCAGCAACATTCCAGCTATATGGCGGCAGTATGTAAATAAATCGAGTTTGGACCAGGCAATCCAGTGGTCAACATCATGAGCATCAATCTACAAAATAGGGATACGATGACATGTGTCAACCAAGTCAGCGAGCCTGACCATCCAATTCCATTAGTCGCCTCTTACAACAAGCATGGGTTACTGAAGATCAATTCTAACCTATATATTCACGGGTACATTACAGAGAGCACACAGTACCTTTACTCTGCAAGACCCGCTTGTCATCCCTGGTCGTGAACCATGCTTGTGTGACATCTTCGGCCGAGTTAGACGACTTCTTGCTGGGGCCAGCTATCCCAGTCTTCTCTGTCTTCACCTGTCACATTGACAGGGACACTTCTTACGATTAGTGATCGTCGATATTCCTTACATGAATGCTTATACCAAAAACAGATGTTTGTGTTCAAATATGACTGACATCTTAGTGGCACAGTTGAAATAAGATGTGTTTGAAACACGTCCTCTGAAATCATATCCTTTCAAAAACGCCTACTTCGGTTATATTTGCTCCAAGCTCCATGAGTTTGTCCCAGTGATAAGTAATATAGAAAACTCTGGTAAGTGTTTAAACGTTATCCTACCTGAGTGACAGTTCCTGACACATCTGAGATGTCAGCGTTGACAGTTTCTGTCTTCTGAAGCTCTGTAATACCAGCCGCATCTCCTGTCACACCTGGAATAACACCACTACCTCATCAATAAGACAACACTGTCACCTGATCAATATGACAACACTGTCACCTGATCAATAAGACAACACTGTAACCTGATCAACATGACAAAACTGTAGCCTGATCAATAAGACAACACTGTAACCTGATCAATATGACAAAACTGTAGCCTGATCAATATGACAACACTGTAACCTGATCAATATGACAAAACTGTAGCCTGATCAATATGACAACACTGTCACCTGATCAATATGACAATATGACAACACTGTCACCTGATCAATATGGCAACACTGTAACCTGATCAATATGGCGACACTGTCACCTGATCAATATGACAACACTGTCACCTGATCAATATGGCAACACTGTCACCTGATCAATATGACAACACTGTCACCTGATCAATATGACAACACTGTCACCTGATCAATATGGCAACACTGTAACCTGATCAATATGGCAACACTGTCACCTGATCAATATGACAACACTGTAAAACAATATAACAACACTGTAACCTGAACAATATGACAACACTGTCATCTGATCAATATGACAACACTGTAGCCTGATCAATATGGTAACACTGTAGCCTGATCAATATGACAACACTGTAACCTGATCAATATGGTAACACTGTAGCCTGATCAATATGGCAACACTGTAAACAAATCAATATGACAACACTGTAACCTGATCAATATGACAACACTCTAACCTGATCAATATGACAACACTGTAACCTGATCAATATGGTAACACTGTAGCCTGATCAATATGGTAGCACTGTAACCTGATCAATATGGTAACACTGTAAACTAATCAATATGGTAACACTGAAACCTGATCAATATGACAACACTGTCTCCTGATCAATATGACAACACTGTCACCTGATCAATATGGTAACACTGTCACCTGACCAATATGACAACACTGTAGCCTGATCAATATCGTAACACTGCAGCCTGATCAATATGGTAACACTGTAACCTGATCAATATGGCAACACTGTCACCTGATCAATATGACAAAACTGTCACCTGATCAATATGACAACACTGTAAAACAATATAACAACACTGTAGCCTGATCAATATGACAACACTCTAGCCTGATCAATATGACAACACTGTAGCCTGATCAATATAACACTGTAACCTGATCAATATGGTAACACTGTAGCCTGATCAATATGGTAACACTGTAGCCTGATCAATATGGTAACACTGTAGCCTGATCAATATGGTAACACTGTAGCCTGATCAATATGACAACACTCTAGCCTGATCAATATGACAACACTCTAGCCTGATCAATATGACAACACTCTAGCCTGATCAATATGACAACACTGAAGCCTGATCAATATGGTAACACTGTAGCCTGATCAATATGACAACACTGTAGCCTGATCAATATGACAACACTGTAGCCTGATCAATATGACAACACTGTAGCCTGATCAATATGACAACACTGCAGCCTGATCAATATGGTAACACTGTAGCCTGATCAATATGGTAACACCTTAGCCTGATCAATATGGTAACACCGTAACCTGATCAATATGACAACACTGTAACCTGATCAATATGACAACACTGTAACCTGATCAATATGACAACACTGTAACCTGATCAATATGGCAACACTGTAACCTGATCAGTATGGTAACCGGATCAATAGGATAACACTGTAACCTGACCACTACAGCATCACTGTAGCCTGATCAACATGGTAAGACTGTAGCCTGATCAATATGGTAACACTGTAGCCTGATCAATATGACAACACTGTAGCCTGATCAATATGACAACACTGTCACCTGATCAATATGGTAACACTGTAACCTGATCAATATGGCAACACTGTAACCTGATCAATATGGTAACACTGTGACCTGATCAATATGGTAACACTGAAAAATAATCAATATGGTAACACTGTAGCCTGATCAATATGGTAACACTGTAACCTGATGAATATGGCAACACTGCGACCTGATCAATATGGTAACACTGTGACCTGATCAATATGGTAACACTGTAAACTAATCAATATGGTAACAGTGTAGCCTGATCAATATGACAACACTGAAGCCTGATCAATATGGTAACACTGTAGCCTGATCAATATGGCAACACTGTAGCCTGATCAATATGACAACACTGTAACCTGATCAATATGACAACACTGTAACCTGATCAATATGGCAACACTGTAACCTGATCAGTATGGTAACCTGATCAATAGGATAACACTGTAACCTGACCACTACAGCATCACTGTAGCCTGATCAATATGGTAAGACTGTAGCCTGATCAATATGGTAACACTGTAGCCTGATCAATATGACAACACTGTCACCTGATCAATATAACAACACTGTAACCTGATCAATATGGTAACACTGTAGCCTGATCAATATGACAACACTGTAACCTGATCAATATGGCAACACTGTGACCTGATCAATATGGTAACACTGAAAAATAATCAATATGGTAACACTGTAGCCTGATCAATATGGTAACACTGTAACCTGATGAATATGGCAACACTGCGACCTGATCAATATGGTAACACTGTAAACTAATCAATATGGTAACAGTGTAGCCTGATCAATATGACAACACTGTAACCTGATCAATATGGCAACACTGTCACCTGATCAATATGGTAACACTGTAAACACATCAATATGGTAACACTGTAGCCTGACCAATATGGTAACACTGTAACCTAATCAATATGGCAACACTGTCATCTGACCAATACGGTAACACTGTCACCTGATCAATATGGTAACACTGTAGCCGGATCAATATGGTAACACTGTAGCCGGATCAATATAACCCAACCTGTTACCTGATCAATATGGCAACACTGTCACCTGATGAATATGACCAACCTGTAACCTGATCAATATGGCAACACTGTAACCTGATCAATATGGCAACCTGATCAATAGGATAACACTGTAACCTGACCAATACAGCATCACTGTAGCCTGATCAACATGTTAAGACTGTAACCTGATCAATATAGCAACACTGTAACCTGATCAATATGACAACATTGTAGCCTGAGCGTGATGGCTGACATATACAGACCCACTGAACAAACTATTTCAGCTGACCAAACAGTGATGGACATTCAAAGTCCAAGTATTTTCAGGCCACTTCTTACCTGCAACTGCCAACACATACGTCTGGCCATCTTCTCCTTCCAGACGGATCAGTTTTGAAGCAGGTTCACCGACAGAATCATTTTGCACACCAACTGTTAGGGGACCTGAAGTCATTTAGAGATAGAAGAAACAATGAAAATGATAACCAAATTTCTAGTAGAGAAGGAAGGAGAGAGTTCTACACCACTTTTACATTTAGCAATAATTTAGCAACATCCTAGCACTGAACACGAAACATTTGTCATGAAGAGCAAACATTTCAATACATTATATGCCCAAACTACTATTGTTAATAAAAGAAATGATTTCTTAATTGCAAAAATACAAAGAAAGGCACTTCATTTATTTATAACATGTTTAAAGTGACATGATTTCATGCAATCATAAATATGTGGATATTTCCATGTATTATTAAGGTTCAATAGCCAGGTTAGCTGGAAGACAATTTGAATCATCCTGAATGATATGCCAAGACAAATATATTGTACAGAGCATGCTCTGTACACTAGACTTGCTTGGGGAAAATTCCAGTCCATTTAATTTCCTCAATTCGAAATAAGATTCACAAGACTAGTCAGATATCAAATAATTCAATGAAACTTCATGGTCAAGCATCAATACACTTGGCACAAACAAGTACATGTATTAAATATTTATATATCTCACTTTAATCCCAATGTTGAATGACTAGCTGGATTCCTTACCATTTCCTGGCTGTGATAGCAATATAAACTGTTGTGCAGGACTTTCGTTGGGCGCAGGTACTGTAACAACTGTGCCGGTTTGAGATGAGCTGGCTTCTGTGTGTAATTCACTTGTTGTTTCACTTTCCTTTTCTGTGCTCAAATCGTCATCCATTGACTGGAAACAGTACACAGACATATCAAAACAAAGACATTGATGCTGTGATTGAGTGAGTGGGTGAGTTTAGTTTTATGCCGCTTATAACAATATTCCAATATGGGCTTGACACATTGTTCCCATGTTGGGAATTGAACCTGGGTCTTCAGTTTGACGGGCAAATGCTTTAACCATTAGGCTACCCCACCACTTCTTGACGCTATGAAGTGTCACCACATTAACATATTGACTTTGAAAAAACGTCCTACTAAAGATGCTAAGAAAACTATTTCAAATTCAACTCAATGAAAGTGACATCTAAAGTTTCAGAGGGTATGCAACATATTACTCCCTTTGATACGGTCATTTACTGATATTAGGCATTTTATACCACTGAACAGACATTTTCTTACTATCATTGAGCTTAACGTTTCAAGTGACTTCTAATTTGCACATTCTAAATTTCTGTTGAAGTAGAAATAATTTGTATCTGTTCATGTGTAGGGTATGCGTGATATCTAAGGTTGAGGTTTGCGTGATATCTAAATTCAATCAATTTACATATTGAACATAGATTGTTCACATACTGAATAGGATACAGTGGAAACTTGTCAGATTGTAGTTATATTTCTGTTTTTTTTAAATTCTTCATGGTTATCTATTTGCTTTTCATTTCTTGATAAACAAATAACTGCTTATATGGGGCTCTTAGAAATGAATAATTTTTAGCAAAAGGATACACAATTGCAATATCTATAGTATTGTGACTCAGGTTTTACAAAACATCAATATACACAGGAGTTGAAAAATAGCTTCAGTGTCCATTTATATTATTGCCGTGATCACAATAGCGACAAAATATACATTGATGTCAATTTTTGAGTGACAAGCACATGCCGATAAGTGCAGCAGGAGCATAATGACACCACTACTTTGTAATATACTGACTAAAGTTATAAGTGGTTAATGTCATTTTAGGCTGACGGAGTCGTTGTCAGCAGCGTGACTCAACATGGCAACTGCAGATGTGTACCCCAGGTACATTTCTGCACACAGACTGACTGACTGACTGAGTTTGGTTTTACGCCGCTTTTAGCAATTGTCCAGCTACATCACGGCCGGGGACACCAGAAATGGGCGTCACACATTGTACCCATGTAGGGATTCGAACCCGGGTCTTCGGCGTGACGAGCCAACGCTTTAACCACTAGGCTACCCCACCGCCCCTCTGCACACAGAAACGTACCCTAGCCAAAATCAGAACACAGAAATGTACCCTAGGATGAGTCCATTCTAAATTGCACCTTTTCTTGATCGGAACTGTCATAATGCCATTTTAGATGCATTTGATTGTGCTATATAAGTAACAAGCATACCCAGTATTGACTATTTCATGATGCACATTACCAGTTGCAATCAGTTGGGTGGAAACAACTTTATAGTTTCGGTTTGCGAAATATGGACTTGTTGGGACTTTTCTGTATTTTGACTTTGAGTAGGGTACATTTCTGTATACAGAAACACATATACTTGGGGTACTTACGTTGATTTAAAACAAAGTCATTTCTATTTTTTCATCTATTGATGACCTTAACTTAAATTATTAGTAAAGGGATGTGTAGAATCTAATAATGCTTGTGTTGACATGTCAATTAAAAATGCTGTATAATTTTTGCATTGGTGAAAAAATTCAAACATTATGTCACCTCATTAGCAATGGGTAGATCTTTGCTACAATTTGTGTTCTGCAGGATTATCAAAAGTTAATGTCCGAATGTCTGACATAGCTCCCTAACAACTGTCAGTGACTATGCTGTAGCTTGATTAATCCACACTGCCATATACCAACCATGACACTTTCTTTCCAGACGTAGTTTAATTACCCAAACTGTTTACACGAAATATTCTAATACTTGTTTAAAGAAAGATTAAAGTTTACACAGGTGCAGAATAGCCCCCTCCCTGCCACGGATAATACACACCGCTGTCTCGCAACGACGAATCTGTTCTAACAACCGCCATTTTGCAATTCTTGACATTTGGCAAAGTCACAATCATTATAAATTCACGAAACATAATTGCCATTCACGTTCAGTCCTGAAATAAGGAACGCCAGACTGACTGACAGCGTCCACGTGTTTTAGAGGACCGACCTTGCGCTGATGTTTTCGTCCGGGTAGTTTAGGAAGAACCAGGATGACAGAGAACCAGGATGGAGGCCACGGGGTGTAGTAATATATCACGGAACTACTTGCGTCGGACTTCTTACTGTGGGTATCTTGTTTGGATTCAGGCGAACGCAGTTACGCCCACAATTACTTTACATTATAGTTATGTCATTATTTCTTAGAAACACAACTATAACTATAAATGTGAAAAACCCCACAAAGCTATATGTACTGTCATTGACAAATCAACTCGCGTTTCTGTGTTAATATTGAATGAGACTATAATTTTCCCACGCACTGTTCTGTTCGATCAATCTGACAATTCTTATATGGGACGCTTCCTTTAAGATGTATTTTTTTGTGTTTTATTAATAATTATGTTTTATCACGAATCCTTAAATACATTATGCAATGGTAATAATGAAAATACAACCTAGCAGAGAACATATGCCATGGCAGAGAAACATACTAAACCACAGACATTTTTAATTGTATTTGGTAGGGTAATTTCAAAATAACTATAGGTCTAAGGAAGTATTCCGTAAAATATTTGGTTAAAAATAACGATATTTAATTAATAAATTATATCTAGGTAAATTCCCGATTCCAACTTTTCCGGAATGTTATGGGCATGGCTGCAAATTAATGGGCGTTCCTCAATGCGTTTTATTTTCAAAGCTGTTATAATTACAAACATGTTTTTGTTGGTCTATATGTTGTGTAGATCAACCACGGTTGATAGAACATGAATAAGTTCAACCATAGGCATTTGAACAGTATATAGATATTCTTTATCATTTCATCCTCCATCGGTATCGTACATTGTTGATACATCTTTCATACAGACCCTGAAACAAACATACCCAATACAGCCCATTAGTATAGAATGTGTGGCCAGTCTAGGTTACCACAGTCTGAAAAATGAACAAAAATATCTGGCTTTCTTTTTACTATATTTTATGAATATAATTTAGAAACTGTAAAATATGTTCATTTCAGAGACTATATGTTTAAAAAACAATTCCAATGGTTGGTATGAAAACACATCTTTATTGTGACTCAGTATTATCAGATGGACGTGGCTAATATTCCTTCGTCTGGGGAGTTGTATAAATCTAAGAGATTCATGCCACAGTACTTCATATTTAATCCCTACACAGCTTTTATAATGAGAAATTTCTCCAAGGAGAATCTTATCAGAAAAGTGAGTAATTAGTGAGTTGGGTTTTACGCCGTTTTTAGCAACATTCCAGTAATTTCACAGTGGGAGACGCCAGACATTGGCTTCACACATTGTACATATATGGGGAATCGAATCCGGGCTTTCGACGCGACGAGCGAACGCTTTAAACACTGGAGTAAGTACTGACATCGCCCCAAGTATGTGTAGAGCTGCGTCTCCAGGAACCTACATGTTTTCAAATACCAGATTTCTCCTTGATTGTGTTTCGAGGTTTGTTAGTGTCGTACTTGTGCTCGTAGGTACCACAAGAAGGTACACGTCTTGGACATTCACTCCATCTTTAAGTGTCCATGGGTTTAAAACTGGACTGTTGGACCATACTGACACCCCAACAACTTCCACAGAAACGGGTTTTGACTGGATTATTGACAGACCTCCGTCATACAACTAAAATATAGCGGAGTGCGACGTCAAACACACATAGATGAACAAACACGGTGTAAGCAGAATATGTTTGTGGACATATTTAAATGTTACAACACGCCACAGTGAGTTTAGTTTTACGCCGCACTCAGCAATATTCCAGCTATATGGCGGCGGTCTGTAAATAATCGAGACTGGACCAGACAACCCAGTGATCAACAGCATGAGCATCGATCTACGCAATAAGATACGATGACATGTGTCAACCGAGTCAACAAGTCTGACCCCTGATCCCGTTAGACGCCTCTTACGACAAGCATGGGTTACTGAAGATAAATTCTAACCCGGATCTTCACGGGTACTGCCTCTTTACACCTACCATCTTCAAAGTATCCTGCATAATGATATCTTGAGCAGGGAACTGTTTCAAACTGCAGATGTCCAATCAATATAAACATTTCCCATGACATATACACATACGCTCAGCATACCCAACTTTTCATTTACCACCTATTGTACGAGTTTCATTACAATTATAATCTGTATTACACTGTGCACATTTTGATTAGATCCTTAATTGCTCATTCACTTAATTACCCAAGAGTAATTGAAATTAAGCAGGCATTGTTACCAATCAACACTAAGTCGGTGAGCATTCCCACCAGCGTATTAATGGAGCTTGATCGGTTAAACCGCCCATACGAATAGGTCATTAATGACAGGGAAATATAATACGACCAGGGAACGGCCATGGATATCGTCAGTATGTATTCTGATGTATCATCTGTGGCCTTAATTTAATGCATCTGTAGAATCGTAGACTGGCACAAGTCTCTTAGGTAATGATTAATAGTTTAAATGATAATTTCTAAAAAAAATATACATAACAAACTGGGGTCCGTTTTTTTTGACTGGCCGATTTAAAGGATAGAATTACTATACATGCATGGGCCTTACACTCAGTACAACCTAGACTAGTAGATGCCCCATTAGCAAATAAACAGGCTGATCAATATAATAATTAGCTTTACTATCAGCAACAATTTCGCGCAACATTCTGTCGGTTTAGTTTCAACAATTTGATTATTTTGTCTTTGATAAAAAATATTGTGTAATATTGTCATAGAAAGTAATTTTCGTTTTGAATTCCGATGTCCAGTTTTAGATCTAGAAGTAACAGTTTTAAGCAGTTCTGTCTGAGAAGAAATGAAGTCCTCCACAGGTCCGGTTAAACTGACTGACTGACTGACTGAGTATTGTTTAACGCCGTTTTTAGCAACATTCCAGCAATATCACGGCGGGGGGCACCAGAAATGGGCTTCACACATTGTACACATGTGGGGATTCGAACCCGGGCCTTTGGCGTGACGAGCGAACGCTTTAACCACTAGGCTACCCCTCCTCCACAGGCCCGGTTAAAGTATCGTCAGTGCGTTGTATGTATGGCTGTAATCATGTTTATAGTTTACACTTAAGATAATATTTTTTTGTATCAAAACGTCATTTCTACTGAATATGGTCAATGCAACGCGTAGGTTTCACACAGTAACACACATACAGACACACACATTCCCAGGACATTGAAGGCTTGATTAGAGCATTGAGGTAGAAAATAGCTCGACATTTCAGGTGAAAACAATCAAACAAACCCGTTACATGTGATTATTTTTTGCCTATTGAAAATTACTAAACCTATCTTTATTCAAATTCGTCTGGGCAACTCGCTGTCTGAAGTTTCGTATGTCAGTACTATAGCTACATGCATTACGGTCGTCCCGGATCTCCATGTTTTGATAACACCGCTTGGTATGTTATCCCGCAATATATCATTATCTAATCTGGGAAACATTTTTTAAATATATATTCCCTGGTTTTTCAAACCACGTAGTCAATGGAAGCAATGACACAGTACGTTAGAGGCGTTAGTCAGTATATACACGAGCTGTCCCATGTTTCCTGTACACCATTCGCGTTGAAGATTAAATGTCCCTTGGACTATATTTCCTCCACGGTTGTGATGCGGTCTCTCTTCCAATAGCCGGACACTGTGCAGTGATGTTGCGTCGTGTGTTGAGGGCCGAACGTCTGCGAACGCTGAAACAGGTTTACTTTTGCATCTAAAACCTGTGTTTACGGAAAGAACTCACAATAAACACTTATTTATGCCTAGTTACAAAATATTCCAAGTTGATATATTTCTATTTTATGTAACAGAAAGACACGAGTCGAAGAGCACCTGTTAAGGGGAAGTAACTCTAACCGAAACACATGTACCTTGCCGCTACATAAAAGATAATGACCTTTCAAGTTTCTTTGCGCCATTGTACTCCACTTTTTAAAAATAATTCGTGCCATTAGAAGTGACATTGGGTGGTAATAGGTATTCATTTATTAAGACAACGTGTGATAAATTGACCAAGAAATCTGTGAGCAGTTGACAGTATCAGAGACCATATACCGGTATATATAGTCTCTGACAGTATCTACTCCTCTAGACGTACAAAAAACAATGTTCTCAGTTTGTCCCGAAAATAACACTACAGTGTACACCACCATTTATTTCGCCCTTTTCACACATCTTCTGATTTGCATGATATTGATAGACCATGCCAAAATATATCAATATTGTGTGCATGAGGTCAAAACAGACATTGAGACAAAATATTTTGGCTGTATTTTTACCTGATGCACTTAGACCCATACTAGCAAGCTCTTTCAAAGTGCATTTCCTTACATTGTAACCGTTGTCTCGCCAGATACCAGTAGACCAATGAAGCCAAATATGTACGTTTCTTCCCTAAAATGAGAAAACATGACTTAGAGAGATATAGATCTTATATTCAATATGGCTGACACAGCAGCCATATTGGATAAACTATTTGTTTCCATTACTCAGCAGATATTTGTACAATATATAGTCAAAGTTTTAATTTGTTGTGGAATTCAAGACATGTTTGGGTTTATTTATCTGCCAATGACCTTGTTTATACCATGCTCATGACATTTTTTTCTACATTTCTGTAATTCCAAAACTTTCACTACTCTTCGGCAGCTACAGAAGGTGGTGACATGTTTGACTTGTCTCTTCAGCTGCCAGTTGTGAGTGTGCCAGCAAGATGGCTGAACCTCCAGGAGTTCCAGAGCAAGCGCCTCATGGCTGATCATGACATTGCTGTGCAGAAGTTTGAAGTAGCCAGTTCCGCATCAGATGCAGGGTCTATAGCAGACAGACTACGTAATTACACTTTGATATTACATGATAAAGTTTTCAGTGGGGTGTTTTGGCACATTAACACAGGTCGGTGAAAATCATGAGCCATGTCAGTAAACAGATGCATGTTATGCTGTAGTTGTAATGCTGTAGTTGTAATGCTGTAGTTGTAATGCTGTGTTTGTGTTAATGCAGAAACCTGAGTTTTTCACGCAACAAAATGATAAAAACACGCAAAACAGATTCCGATTTACAGATTATATTGTCATTGACAATACTGCGTAATTAGACACTTCTCTCTAAACTGAATATAATTGACATTCAATAGATATTAAGAATTGTTACAAATATTTCCCCAAGAATAATTTGGGCTATCTTTAATACAATAACATCATATTGTTATATTTCTCCATGTAAGTCATTTATGTCTGAGCAGTCAACATCAGTAGCAGTCATGGGTCTGTTACAGTTGACTATTGGAAAATCCGTTACTTGTGACGATATTTATGATAATCTCGCCCAGGTTAGCGTCTATCCTACGTCACTCATATTATATACATACAGTAACCCCTCGTCATAAGTGGCGACTAACGAGATCGGGTAGTCAGGCTCTCTGACTTTGTTCACACATGTCATTGTATCCTGTGTAGATTGTTGCTCATGTTGTTGATCACTTGATTGTCTGGTCCAGACTTGATTATTTACAGGCCGCTGCCATGAAGCTGGAATATTGCTGAGAGTGGCGCTAAGCAACAAACCAACCAAATCTAGATCAGTTTCCAACATTTGGAAACCCATAAGAGATTGATATTATTTTCTTTACAGTTTGAAAATTGTTCAGTTTTGTTGATAATTGGTTTGCAGGTGTACCTGAGTATGTTATCAAGGCACAGATCCTGGCTGGGGGTCGGGGGAAAGGTGTTTTCAACAGTGGCTTCAAAGGAGGAGTGCACCTCACAAAAGAGTAAGTTTTGTTTGTGTGTTAATGCTGTAATAGAGCCCCTGAGATACAGAGGATGTTTATGTTTCAGAGTAATATATTTATGTTAATCTGATCTTCAAGTCACGTGTTAGTCGGGGTTGTTTGTGGTTCGTTTCCAAAGGTTTGTCCTCCATGATGTTTTCTCTTCAGTCTTATTGATGGAATATTGCTGAAAGTGTCTAAAAACTATACTCACTCCTAAAATAGGAGACAATAAGGTCACCTAGTAGTTAAAATCATTTGCTTGTCATGCTAAAAGTCTGGGTTTGATTGCCCACATGGGTACAATGTGTGAAGCCCGTTTCTGTTGTACACCTCCACGATATTGCTAGAATTTTGCTAAAAGAGGGTGGAACCATACTCACTCTATGATGAAATGAGGTTTTTAGCTGCTTTTGACAATGTTCATCTGTAAGAAACCTACTTATCTTCTCAGTATCAAATTGTAACAGGGATTAATTTTTCATGCAAGCTGAAACCACAGACATAAATTACTTTCAGTTTATAAACAGTATGCATTTACTATTGATTTGATTTAATGTTTTCAGTGCTAGTCAAGTGTCTGGTCTAGTCCAGAGTATGATTGGGCAGAGTCTTGTCACGAAGCAGACGCCAAAAGCAGGGGTGAAGGTCAACACCGTGATGGTAGCCGAGGCCCTGGACATTGAGCGGGAGACCTACTTCGCCATCTTGATGGACAGGAAGTACGACGGTCCAGTGATGGTGGGCAGTCCGCAGGGCGGAATGGACATCGAGGAGGTCGCTGAGAAGGACCCAGACGCCATCTTCACAGTGAGTATGTTGGAGCATCTTTCATTATAAGGAACATGCTTATAACAACAGGGGTGGAAATAACTTTCAAATTGCTAGTGTACTCCGGAACAGTGGCACATGTAAAATCACTTGCCCTGATAATTTTTCCACTATACCGTCCGTTTTCTTGTTGATTTTGTAAACTAAACAACATAATGAACATTTGAAAGTCAATTGGACGCCGGTACAGTGTGATATACAAATTTGCTTGCCCGACAGAAAAAACACTGGACTCGGACATCGGGCAATGGGTTATTTCCACCCCTGAACAAACTGATGTGCTTTTAACAAACTATTTTTAAGTTCCTGGTCACATGTTGTATGTTTTAGTCTAAATGTGTATAACAAAATATTGTCATTTTAACTGGACACATTCACTACCATAGTCATGACCAAATAGTGGATTCTTTTTCAGAAGAAGTCCTCCTTGGGGTACATATAAGCATTAAAATGTCCATTTTAAAAGCCTACGACAGTTGTAACAATATTTCAATAAAATATTTTACCAAACAAAAAACTCGTTATGTCTGGTGAGACCACCCCTACAGGGCCCCGCAGAGGGCCCCCTACAGCCAAGAGCAGGTAACTCTGGCTGTGTACCTCGTACCTCACTTTTCATGCTGTCGTTGACCGTATAGGTCGTGCATGGTCCAGAAGACACGTCTTCGCGAAGTTCTACGCTTAAGATGAGTGAGAAAGAGTCAAATCCTGTATGTATGGTTCCTTCTTTTCGCACGGGCGCTAGCTGGAATCTTTGTATGACTTTTTTCATTCATGATTTGTTGTAACCTTACCGGCGTGTTCGCTGTCTCCAGCCATGTGGCAGACAAGATGGCGGACCGCGGGGTCCCTTTTGCTTTCCTTCTGCTGGCTTCAAAAAGCCTTGTAGTCGGGTCGTAAGGGCACTGATATTTCATTATGTAGATTATACTTGCCTAAATTCCTCCTTTTTTCAGCGGCTTTAGGTAAGTTTTGCTTGAGTGATTTTGTGGCGCGTTTAAGTGTCGCTCACATATGTTGCTCCTTGTCACCTATGTACACTATTACGCTTCGCTATTGTGGCTTTGTGCTAGTATTTAATAGCTTTGCTGTAGCAGTTAAAATATCGCCCGTGCGTTGTATTTTGTTCTGTTCTGTTTTGTTGTGTGCATATTATATTATATCGAACAGTCCTTGCTATTAGTCATAGCGTGGTTCTGTTTTTTGCAGCCCAAGGGGTGTGTTACCTGTAGCGGCAGTTTGTCGCCTCAGGATCGTCACCTGGTTTGCTTACGTTTGGTGGAGGAAGCCCATGACGAACAAGGCTGTTCTATGTGTCAGTCTTTCTCCCCACGCACCATCAAGTCCAGACGTGCAGATTTCATGTTCTACACGTCCTTACTTCAGGCGGGGGGGGGACATTTGGGGTCAGGAGCCTCCTAAAGACAAAGATAAAAAAACAAAGAAAAAGAAGGCTTCTGCTTCCTCTCTTCTAGGGGATACTGCTCCTAAACGGGCGAAGGGTGGGGGGCCTTCGGCTCCTTCACCTTCCATCCCCTCCACATCACAGGCACCTTCCCCACCTCATGTCCCGGTTTCTAACCCGTTAACATTGGAATTAATATCTGATTTATTGCAGAGGCAAATGGATTCGGTCCACTCTCTCATGTCTGACGCGATGGCTGGTCTCCGTGAGGAGATTGGCGTCCGGCCAGGTACGGGGGGGTGTTCCGGATTTGTGGCGGGCAGTACTCCCAACCTTAGCTTAGGCTCTGGTGTGGGGGTTTCTGTCAGGGGGGTGTCGGCTCCGAGTCTCGTCTCGGTTGCTGGCCACCCCTCCGCTGTAGTAACTACTACCAGCCCAAGCCTTGGCAATGGGACTGGTTCAGTAGTTCGTGCTGGCTTTGCAGGCTCAGTCCCTGTAGTTTCCACTACATCGCATTTGGTCCCCCCGCTTGCGCCGGCTTTGCCGGGCCATTCGGTGTCAGGATCATTTGGCTTGTCATTGGGGTATCCCAGCACGGGCTCTTCCTCGTCACGCCTCCGCGACTCAGTTTCGAGTCGGGTCGGGTGTGCCGGGCAACTCGGCTCTGCTCGAGCCTTTGTCCCTCTCTGTAGACCCCTCGGATGATCCCTAAGAGCTCTCTCTGGTTACAGAGACCTCACTCATTGAGGATCGATTCGAGGAGGCTATGGAGGAGGATGAGGGTCGGGGGGAGTTGGCTACGCCTTTGGTTTCGCTCAGTGCGTCCCTGAGGCAGGTACGGGAGCGTATTGCCTCTGTCCTGCCCCAGGTAGTGGTCAGTACTGGCGCACCCGACCCTCAGGAGTTTCGCCTCCCAGGGGAGGCTTTTGCTCCCACCAAGGTGGGGGACACAAGGCTGCGTATATTACCCTCAGTTTTGTCTGAGGTTATCAACCCCCTCCTCTGTGGTACCAGGTCCAGGTTCGATTTGCCAGAACTGGACCGTCGGTACCTCATGGGGGAGGCTTGCCTTTATAATCCCCCAGTGGTTGACGATTGTGTTTATGCATCCGTCGCCCTGGGGGGTTCGTCGGGTAATTCTATGGCTTCAGCCAAGCAAGGTCGTCGGCTTCCGCCGTTCACGACTAACGCCACGGTGCTTAAATCCGCCTATCGTTCCTTTGAAGAGCAATACCGCAATGCGGTTCAATGCCTCAAAGTGACGATCCATTCCGCCTACATCTCGGTGTTGCAGAGGCAACTACTGGATGTGGGTGGGGTGGAGGAAGATTTGTCTCCCTCCACCTTGGCTAAGCAATTAACGGAGGTACAGTCACATCTGGCGCGCGCGATTCTATCAGGTCGTCGGCTTGCCAAATGATGTCGGCGGTGATGGGCCTCCGTCGCCTGTGGCTTTCCGTGGCGAGGTATTCGCCTGCCACGCAACAGGCTCTGCTGGCGCTGCCATTCCGGATGGGTTCTACCCTGTTCCCCGGGGCAGCTACAGTAGTCCGGGAGGCCGTGGAGGCTGTCTCAACCTTCAAGGACTCTAAGCCCTTGCTGGAACAGCCTCACATGTCTCGCGCGCGGCCCCCGGTTCTCACCTCCGCATATCCTTCTGCCGCGGCGAAGGAATCTGTTAAATGGGCTCAGCCCTTGCAGTCGCGGAGGGGTAAGGGCAGAGGCAGGGGCAAGGGCAAGGCCACGGCGCCCCACCAGCCTTTTCAGAGGAAGGGGAAGTCAGCCCCGGCTTCCCAGCTATAATTCCTATAATACCAGACCAAGCAGTCGGAGTACTGCCGAAGTCTGGTATTCAATGTCTCATGCCACATATCCCTGTGGGTGGTCGACTTTCCCTCTTCCTGTCGGAATGGGAAAAAGTCACTTCCAATCCCTGGGTCCTGTCCACGCTCAGGGAAGGCCACATGCCACAGTGGAAGCGAGACCGGCCCCCCTTCTCCGGGATCCGTTGCACTCCAGTGCCGGCTGCCCTAGAGAAGGCGGAAGTGCTCCGTGCCGAGGTCCAGTCGTTGCTAGACAAGGCAGCCATAGAGGTGGTTCCTGTGGGACAAGAAATGGTGGGTTATTACTCAACTTATTACCTTGTCACCAAAAAGGACGGAGGGTTCAGACCTATTCTAAACCTCAAAGGTCTGAACGACATGTTAGAGGCACCGTCCTTCAAGATGGAAACACTGTGTTCGGTGATTTTCGTCTGTGGAGAAGGGAGATTGGCTCACGTCAATCGACCTCAAAGACGCTGCACCTTCCATGTCCCTATGCACTCGAGTTCAGGAAATACCTAAGGTTTTCCTTCGACGGGAGGTGCTATCAGTTTCGGGTACTCCCTTCGGCATCTCCACAGCGCCAAGGGTGTTCACCAAACTCATGCTAATTCCAGCGCAGGTAGCCAGATCACAGGGCAGGTGCTGTCACCCGCACCTAGACGATTGGCTCCTTCGCGGCGCTGGCCACTCACTTGAGTCGAAGTTGCGACACTTTCTGTGATGAGTATACTCACCAAGTTGGGCTGGATTATCAACCTCAAGAAATCAGAACTGGTTCCCACCCAGGATCTGGTGTTCTTGGGAGCGGGATTCGAGACAGCGCCGAGGGATAGTCTCCCTGTCTCCGACTGCGTCACCAAAGTCCAGAGAGTTTTGTTACAATTTCTCGAGTCCCCAGGGCCTCAGCTCGGACTTGGCTCCAGTTGCTAGGCAACATGGCGCAACGGTGGACATCGCTTGGCGAAGCTGTTGAGGATGCGACCCATTCAGCAGGCTCTAGCTCGGATGTGGGTCCACACCGTTACGAAGTTGATCCTCCACACCCAGGGTGGCTAATTCCTCATCTACGGTGGTGGACACTGGCAGGAATTTATCCAGGGGCTCCCTTTGGACATCCCATCGCCAAATCTCTCAATTCAGACAGATGCTTCACTCACAGGGTGGGGGTGTGCTGGAAGCCCTGTCGGTCTCAGGCCTGTGGTCACAGAGCGAGGCAACTGCACATCAATGTGCTAGAATTGAGAGCAGTCAGGTTGGTGTTTGAACGACTTCGAGAGCAGGTTCAAGGCCGTGTGGTCCGCCTCGAGATGGACAACCAGACGGCGATGACCTATATCCTGAAGCAGGGCGGCACGGTTTCCCGCCTCTTCTGCTTGAGGCATGGCAGTTTCTGCTCTGGTGCGACCGGGTTCGACATAACGGGTAATGCCTGTTTATCTCCCTGGGGCGACAACGTTCGAGCAGATGCACCCTCTCGTCGTATCCTGGCCCCGCACGAGTGGATGCTCCATCGGGAGATATTCGGGGCTATCTCCCAGTTGTTCGGATCGTTCCAGGTGGATCTGTTTGCCTCTGGGGGGACAAACCAGATTCCGGTGTTTTGCTCTCGGATACCGGATCCGAGAGCCATCGCCCAGGACGCTTTCCAGCTCGATTGGATGGACCCGATTAGCGTTCCCGCCACTACCCCTGATTCCCAAAGTCCTCTCGCAGCTTGCCACCAAACCAGCTCGACTTCTTGTGCTCCTTGCACCCCTTTGGTCGGCTCAAAGCTGGTTTCCGGTACTACTCAGGTTTCTGGCTCAGCCTCCTGTACTATTACCCTTTCGACCGACTTATTATCCCAGAACGGGCGCCGCACCAATCCCAGGATTCAGTGGGTGGCCTGGCCTCTGTCCGAATCGCCTCCACACGAAGCGAATTCCTGCACCAGTTGCAGACACAATTCTGGCTTCGCCGGAGGATTCACAAACGCTCAGTATGAGGATAGATGGGCCTGTTATACGCTATTGGTGTGTCGGTAGAGGGATTCTGGATCCCTTTCTTCAACTGTAATTGAAGTACTGGAGTTCTTACAGTCTCGGTTAGAAGCCGGCTTAGCCGCGTCTACTATCCGGGGCTACTCCATGGCAATCTCTGCCTTCCATATCCCTGCCGACGGTGCTCTCTTGGGGCAGCACCCTCTAGTGCAGCGCTTTTTAGCAGGCGTGGACAGAATCCGTCCGACTGTCCGGCGGATTAGTCCCCCGTGGGACTTGTCAATCGTTCTTGATTGGATGTCCGGTCCTCTCTTTCACGATCTGTCGCCTCTTTCACTCCAGCTGTTAAGTTGGAAGGCTGCCTTTCTTGTGGCGGTAACGTCTGGCAGGCGGGTAGGCGATATCCATGCGATGTCAGCGGATCCTGCTCTGACTGTCTTTCACAAAGACAGAGTCAGTATTTGGTTGCCAGACTCTTACCGTCCCAAGATCGCAGGCGCCTTTCATGTAACGGCCAGCTTTCACTCAGCCTCCATCGTCCGGTCTCTCGGCGTGCTCACGCCTTAGATGTCCGTAAGACTCTCAAGGCTTATATCAAATGAACGGCTGCTATCAGGAAAGATAAGCAGCTGTTCTGTTGTTATGGCGGTGGTAAGGCTGGTCTTCCGGCGAACAAGCAGACCATATCTAGGTGGCTTGTCTCTGCCATTTGTATGAGTTACTCTTACAAAGGGTTAACTATCCCTCAGGGGTTAAAGGCCCATTCGATTAGGGCAGTGGCGACATCGAAGGCATACGCCGCGGCACTGCCCATTGAGGAGATCTGCTCAGCGGCTATCTGGAGCCGACCGAGTACGCTCATCCGCCATTATCAGCTGGACAAACATTCACGGCGCCGCAGCTCGGTTTGGCCAGACAGTTCTCACCAGTGCGCAGTGTCGTTATTCTCTAGCCGAATGAGCCTTAGAAATCACGTTTGCTTTTCTCATGGTGTAGGTGTTATAAAATTCCTCAATTTTTATCGGTGGTTGTATCACATTGGTGGTGGTTTTGACCGTATATAGCGATTATCACTCGCTATAGTCACTGTTTTCATCCCTGCACCACGCTTCGCTGGTTTGGGTTTCTGAGGGATATATATTGGACTCGTCCATACATTCCCTCCCATTTTGATGGTCGGGGGGTGGGACTTGCGTCCGTCTGTACAAATTCCACCAATAGCCTATTGGCTAGGCACCTTTTCCCCCGCCTTGCCACGCCCTGCCTGATTGACATCGGCGGTCAGGTGACTAGGTGAGTGTACTTTCTCTCTGTCGTGCTTCGGGCTGTGCCTTCGACTGAACTAGGGGTATGTTAGGCAGACAGAATACCGCCCCACTCAACATCGTTGGGAGTCTGTCTTATGCTTATATGTACCCCAAGGAGGACTTCTTCTGAAAAAGAATTATACAAACCTGTAGAGGTTATGAATTCTTTGAAGAAAGTCCTCCTTGGGGTATGGCCGCCCACCTCCCCTCATTCTGTCTGACACGTTCAGCATGAAAAGTGAGGTACGAGGTACACAGCCAGAGTTACCTGCTCTTGGCTGTAGGGGGCCCTCTGCGGGGCCCTGTAGGGGTGGTCTCACCAGACATAACGAGTTTTTTGTTTGGTAAAATATTTTATTGAAATATTGTTACAACTGTCGTAGGCTTTTAAAATGGACATTTTAATGCTTATATGTACCCCAAGGAGGACTTTCTTCAAAGAATTCATAACCTCTACAGGTTTGTATAAGTTTTAGTGAAGGTTTACAAAATGGATTACCTGAGATTGTTTCTGTTGAAAGAACAGTTACACTGGTAACTTTAGCTAGTAAAATGTGAGAGTATTTCTTTCTCAGCTTTGTTATGGAATCCATTGATGTAATTTACAGATGCAATGTTATTAATTTCTAAGAACTATTGGGGCGGTGGGGTAGCCTAATGGTTAAAGCGTTGGCTCGTCACGCCGATGACCCTGGTTCGAATCCCCACATGGGCACAATGTGTGAAGCCCATTTCTGGTGTCCCCCGCCGTGATGTTGCTGGAATATTGCTAAAAGCGGCGTAAAAACCAAACTCAGTCAGTCAGTCTTAGAACTTAATTTACGAAGAGAGTTTCAGTGTCAGTGTAGATTACTGTAGGAAGGGAAGTAACTCTTGTCATTCAAAGAAACATCTCAACCAGCATACTTCTGTTATTCCCATTCTATTAATGATGGCAGTATCTCAGGGAATCATTTCAAACTAAATGACAGACATTTGGTCCAATTATGTCTATATTACAATAGCCTTGCTGTACTTTAAATGTTTCATTTTAAGATTAATTAATTCATATTTCTTGATCTAGTCAATATACTTGTTTTCATTGATTTCCAGGATCCTATTGACATCACAACTGGGTTGGTAGATGGTCAGTCTATGAAGATGGCGCTCAATCTGGGCTTCACTGGCACCAAACAGAAGGAGGTAGGTGGTGACCCTTGTTTGTTGATGTATGAATAATGTTTAAATAGTGCTGGTTATTGCTCACAATTGGCTGATCGATAACTGGAGCTCAGTAATCATTGAATGATTAATTGTAATTGTATACCATGACACGAAACTCATCTGGGCAATAATGGGACACAATCATAACTCTGTGCAAACGAAACAGATTAATTCTACAATTAAGATGATCGGGGAGACTTCCTTTTGAGACATGTGCACGAATGTTGTTTACATTGTAGTTTTACAAGTCAGGAAACTGCTTCAGGTGTCTGTGTCTTAATTTAACAAACATACCAATAAAAACATACTTTCTAAAGTTTAATTTGATGTTTCATTGTTTATTAATCGCAAATGCAAGCTAGATCGATTGATCGACCCAACCCACCCAACACCCGTGAAGATCCGTGTTACAAATGGTCTTCAGTAACCCATGCTTGTCATAAGAGGCGACTAACGGGATCGGGTGGTCAGGCTCATGGACTTGGTTGACACATGTCATTGTATCCCAATTGTGTACAACGATGCTCATGCTGTAGATCACTGAATTGTCTGGTCCAGACTGGATTATTTACAGATCGCCGCCATATAGCTGGAAAATTGCTGAGTGTGGCGTAAAACTAAACTCACTCACTCACTAAGCACCCAATTAGAGGTGACTCAGTGGATGGGATTATCAGATTTGACGATTTGATTGACTGTATGTCATTACATCCCATGATTTGTATTTGTGCATGGATTGATGCTCATGATGTCTATCACTGGATTGTCAGGTTAAGACTTGATTATTATTTTTTGCAGTCTGAAAAACACAAAAGATCTTACTTTGATGATGTTGCAGTATGTAGCACCCAGTCTCAGTAAAATCAGATCTTACTTCTCGCTACTGCTAATTAACGATCTTATGACATCACATTACAGTTCACGTCATAACAATCTTTCTGGTAATCGATACTCTGACTGGTGAATGGAATGTCCTTCCAACAAGATCCATGAAGGTATAAGTACTATTATCTGTTTTTTTAGATCTTGTAGCATCAGAATATTTCAAAATGATTTGGTGTGAGCAATAGGTCTTCCTTTCAGGCTGCCAAGCAGATAGAGCGTCTCTATGACCTGTTTGTGAAGGTGGACGCCACACAGGTGGAAATCAACCCGTTTGGGGAAACCCCTGATGGCCGAGGTAGGGGAAGTGAAGCTGGATTTGTATATGATGTAACATTAGTTGGCTAAGTTTAATCACAGGTGGAAGTAGGTGAAATTTATCTCTCATAAACCAATATATATTTCTTTTGAATGTAGTAGAATCGTTGGATAATGATTCATTGTATAAACGTACTGGATGCATTCAACAACAACCCATGTTAGACGCAAGAGGCAACTAACGTGATCGTCTGGTCAGGCTTGGTTGATACATGCCATCGTATCCCAATTTCGTAGATCGATGTTCACGCTGTTGATCACTGGATTGTCTGGTCCAGAATTGATTATTTACAGACCACCGCCATATAGTTAGAATATTGCTGAGTGTGGCATGAAACAACAACAACAACAAAAATAAGACATTAGTTCAATTAAAAGACATTTCCTGGTAAACAACATTAAGGGATTAACATTCACAAGGGACATAACATTCACTCTCACATGTTCTGACTGAGTGTAAGCATTCCTCATCTATCGACCTGGTGTTATTTCACATCAATGACACAATATTCTTGTTTTTCATTACAGTTGTATGTTTTGATGCCAAGATCAACTTTGACGACAATGCAGCTTTCCGGCAGAAGGATGTGTTTGCGATGGACGACATGTCAGAGAACGACCCCCGCGAGGTCGAGGCTGCTAAGGCCAACCTCAACTACATCGGCATGGATGGCAACATCGCATGTCTAGGTATTTAATGATAATAATAATACTTGTTACTCCAACTAAGTTAGGGTAGATAGTTTGTGGTGACTTACACTGTCTTGAAACTTCATACCTTTCTCTGTGAGATGTGGTTAGAGCGTCCGCCCGGAGAGCGAAAGGTCGCGGGTTCGATCCCCGTCCGCGTCATACCGAAACACGTTAAAATATGGTACTTGTTGGTCCCTGTCTGGCGCTTGGCATTAATAGGTACAACAAGGACTGGTCGGCTCAGAGTCGGTATAATGTGTCTGAGTAGGGTATTCATGCTTAACTGCAACATGGTATCTCAGTGAACTATAAAACCAGCTGAAGTCTGGGCTAGTACGAGCAGCCACACATACACATGCAACTTAATTGTAAATTTGGTAGCTTTAAGATTTTGTCTGAACATAACACATGTGTAGTGTGTGGCCATGAGAAAATTATATGCAATAGTATTTTTAAAAAAATTCAAAAGGGCTATCCAGCAGAATGCATCGTCGATAGTATGCCATTTATGTGATATAAATGGTTCCTGATAAATATTTATTATTATTTCAGTCAATGGTGCCGGTCTGGCAATGGCAACGATGGACATCATCAAGCTCCACGGCGGCAACCCAGCCAACTTCCTGGACGTGGGCGGCGGAGTGACAGAGGACCAGGTGAAGTCTGCCTTCCAGCTCCTCACTGCGGACACACAGGTCAAGGCTATCCTTGTCAACATCTTCGGGGGCATTGTCAACTGTGCCACCATCGCTAACGGCATCACCAACGCCTGCCGCACCATCAACCTTTCTCTTCCTCTCATTGTCAGACTGGAAGGTTTGTTGATCATTATGCACTTGCTTGAGTGGTTATAGCATTCACAGCTAAATGCTCTGCTGTTCTGGGTGTTTGTTCTGCTGTTCTGGGTGTTTGCTCTGCTGTTCTGGGTGTTTGCTCTGCTGTTCTGGGTGTTTGTTCTGCTGTTCTGGGTGTTTGTTCTGCTGTTCTGGGTGTTTGTTCTGCTGTTCTGGGTGTTTGCTCTGCTGTTCTGGGTGTTTGTTCTGCTGTTCTGGGTGTTTGCTCTGCTGTTCTGGGTGTTTGTTCTGGGTGTTTTCTCTCTGCTGTTCTGGGTGTTTGTTCTGCTGTTCTGGGTGTTTGTTCTGCTGTTCTGGGTGTTTGCTCTCTGCTGTTCTGGGTGTTTGCTCTGCTGTTCTGGGTGTTTGTTCTGCTGTTCTGGGTGTTTGCTCTGCTGTTCTGGGTGTTTGTTCTGCTGTTCTGGGTGTTTGCTCTGCTGTTCTGGGTGTTTGTTCTGCTGTTCTGGGTGTTTGCTCTGCTGTTCTGGGTGTTTGCTCTGCTGTTCTGGGTGTTCTGCTGTTCTGGGTGTTTGTTCTGCTGTTCTGGGTGTTTTCTCTGCTGTTCTGGGTGTTTGTTCTGCTGTTTTGGGTGTTTGTTCTGCTGTTCTGGGTGTTTGTTCTGCTGTTCTGGGTGTTTGTTCTGCTGGAGTATTTGGCCCTGTTCTAAGATGGATGAATGACACATGACTGTATCCTGTACTTCATCAGGATAAACAGAAACTGATGCCAGGACAGTATGCCACTGATTCATCCAAATTCATTCGAACATTTTAATTTAATATTGTATTGTAGATGGGGGAATTAATTATATGGCAACTTCCCTGAGGGCTGATAGTTAGTATTATTGAGAGAAATGCATTATCTATTTTTAGAGAAGTGTGGTGTGAAAATGTGCCTTTAACTTCCTAGGCCAGACTTCATGGGGCAAAATGTAAACTGTTGCATTTTGAGGTAGTGAAATTTGAAACTGGCCACTTACTTTTACTGTTAGCAGTATTTTAAGACTAGTTCTCACACTTGTCATTGGTCAAAGAATTCCATTTCATAGATCTGATTACCAGATCTAACCAAATTATGATGAGGAATGTGCACTCATGGCTGAACAAGCTGAACAAGGTCTGCCATCTTTCTCCCTTAAAACCATTTTACTTACTGATGTTTCTTTTCAGGCACCAATGTTGATGAGGCCAAGAAGATTCTCCGTGAGAGTAATCTCCCCATTACAGCTGCCAACGACCTTGACGATGCAGCCAAGAAGGCTGTAGCCAGCATCAGATGATCACATGATTACTAGGGTCCCATTCGTGATTATGTGAATTATCTGCAAACTGTTTATGAATGATGTGATTTACATGACTTAGATTCTACAGTCAGGCCAATACAGACCTGGATGAATCTGACCTTGGCAACAGCTTGCTAGCCAGATTGTGTGTCAAGGTCAAGGACAGACCCAGAATGGAAGAGTTTATTATTTTCCAGGGGTTATAGGTGGAAGGATGTATGCATTCATTCACAATACTGGGGACCAGTTATGGTAGCATGTCACATACCAGTCATATCACAATATCTTTTTCTAATTTAGTTCATAATTCCCTTTTTACTGATATTTTATTCTAGAATTCTAGAAAAGAAATTAAATTTATACCCTAATTTTAATATTACCATGACAATATAACCTGATCCAAAGTTTGGACAATTCACTTTTTGATGCCTTATATTTTACACAATTCCATAAAGATTTCATCATATACCTGAACATGAGCCAAAATGTTAAATCATCAGTTTGTAGACAATGTGCACATTAATATAAGAATGAGTGAAATGCACTGTCAATGCTTCTAAGGTTTATTCAGGTATCAAACTAAAAAGTCTAGTGATATGTATTCTGGGTCTGTCATTGGTCAGCTTCTTTTGATTGACATGTGATTCTAATGTCATTAATAACTTGATTGACAGGTGATGGAATGTGATGTGTGATTGGAAGTCTGCATGTGTATGAGGTGTACCTGTTAGTGAATTAAGGATGTAGCTGAGTGATGCCGACATTAGTATTTCTTCATTGTTACCATGGATACTGTTGGTATGGCATTATATTGCCAATATTTATTCCATTATATTCAGTGGGCTAGTTATTAAGGATATTACAGACTTTATCAGACAGTGAAGGCTAGTTTTTTGTTTCATATGAAGGAGAGTGTCCACATGTTTACAATTATTTGAAGTTAACTTCCTTTAGTGTTTAGGCTGGTGGGTTTGTTTTTTTTTCACTACTTAGAAAAATATAAAGCCTTGTTTTTTTTGTGTTGAGGGATATATTAACTTAGTTCTGTGATGTTTGGTTATGCATATATAGGAATGATATGGACAATGGTGATACCTAAGGAAATCCAAAGTGATCCATCTATTTCAGTGCCTATTAACATGAAGAACTAACAGAGCAGTTAGCAGCTATCACTTGAAGAGAAAATAAACACATAATGGTATTCTAGCTTACATATTTTCCAGTAAGATGTTGATTACTGCTCAAAGTGATTGAAATGTGATCATCAGAGTCATGTTGTGTACAGTTTCATTGAAACCATTGTTCGAATATCTAAACAGCTATCCAAGAGCTTGATCAATTATCTGGTGTGGAAGTGAGTGAGTCTGAATTAATTCAGCTCTCAACAAGCTGCAATGGTGTTCATTATGTATCAGACTTTAATAGTATAGTAACTGCTCAATATATAGTATACAAAGTTATCAGAGTTTTTGTTTCATTATCTCGGGTTCCTTCTGGAAGGGTAGCCCATTGGTTAAAGCGTTGGCTCGTCACGCCGAAGGCCCAAGCCCGATTCCCCACATGGGCACATTGTGTGAAGCTCTTAAACCATACTCACTCACTCACTCTGGAAGGGGATACATGACCACCTGGGATTGCGGGCGATGGGGTGGCCTAGTGTTTGCTCCTCACCCCGAAAAAACGGTTCAATTCCCCACATGGGTACAATGCGTGAAGCCCATTTCTGGTGTCCTCCGCCCTGATATTGCTGGAATATTGCTAAAAGCGGTGTAAACCCATACTCACTCACTCCTGGGATTGCTGTTAGATGTTCTGCATCTCATACTGACCATCACTTGTCTTTGGTCATGCATGCATAGATCACTGAATACTGATCCAAACATGAATACCAGGATTTCCTTGGTGAATTGAATCTGATGCTTTATAAATGGACATGATGATGATGATGATGATGATGATGATGATGATGATGATGATGATTACTTCTAACAGACTGGTCACTATATTATGAAGGATTCACTCCTACCTAAAGTTCTACTGCAAATCCATGTGTTTCATGCCTGCCCCCCCAAGCCCTGTCAGAGACCATATTACAGATCGGTTTATGACGACTGGTATCCCGAACACCATAATTTCGAATACAAAGATATAAGGGGGGGAAATGAAAATAACTTTTACATGCAATTAAAGAAGTATCAAATACAGTCAGACCTCGTTAATACGAACACTTTGGTTTTTTACAAAAAACGTTCGGATAGTGAAACGTTCGTACTGCTGAAACCACAGTATATGCACCGAGTTACTTCCCCTTTATACAACTAAAACTTAAATAAAATTATTTTTGAATGAAAATGCAAGCTTACATGTATAACGTCCAGATAAACCACGAAAGAAGCAAAAACTATGGCGATTTTTTCCATTTGTGACTCTTAAATAATATGTATGGTCGCCTATTTCCCGATATCTGTGGCTTTCCGCTCGGTAACATGACATAACAACGGAAAATACCTCCGTTTTCGAAGCATCGTATGAATAACATGGCAGGCGAATCGTTTGATGTCGGGTATCGTTCGAAAGCTCTGAACATCAACAACATCACTGAACCCTTGCCGAGAGTATTTTCACAGTTGTAAGAAGCGATTTTATTGGATACAAATTTGTTTCTAATGACGCTTTTTCACTACAGTCTGCTATAAGGGTCGTGATTGGTCAAAATCAGACACGTGACCTAAGGCAGCCAATCATATTACGGCAATGGATTCCGTCCTCGTAAACGAAAACTTTTAGATTTAGACGAAAGTTTTGGGTAAAATAATAGTTGGGTAACATATTAAGCAAGAAATCGCTACCTATACGTAAATTATGGAACTTATTGGACGTATCGTGCTAGGTTATGACCTGTGACAAAAATGCTTCATGTATATATTTGACAATGTTATTGTGGACCCGATGCCCAAGCATCTGTCCAAGTCGCTAAGTTGCTAAACAAACAACGTGTCACTTTGGGTGGACCAGTCAGCAGCGCGGTCAACTTCAATCGTTCGGATTAACGCAGCTGTTTACAACGTAATTAGTCAGATCCGTTCCGACTGACCAGCGTTCGGAGGCGGAAACTGAATCATCGGATTAACGAGGTGTCTATTATATACAATATATAGGGAGATGATTTGGTGCCCAGTGAGTAGCGTTCGGAAGTCGGTGGATTCGGATTAACGAGGACCGGATTACTGCGGCCTGTACAAGACAGGAGCAGTGTATTGCTCATATCAATGAAAACAGCATGTTGAATTTTGCAAACTCCTTGGCGGAGTAAGCATTTATGGTCTTTGTTCAATCCTGACACCACATGGGTACAATGTGTGAAGCTCATTTCTGGTGTCCCCCGCCGTGATATTATTGCAGGAATATTGCTAAAAGCGGCGTAAAACCAAACTCACCCACTCCCTCAATCCTGACAACCAAACAGGGTGAGACTCGGCTTCCAAATGCGAGCTGGGAAGCCAGTATGACAATCCATTCGAATGGTAGTCACGGAATCATTGAACTCGGTCCGTATGGCGACTAACGGGCTCGGGTGGTCAGGCTTGCTGACTTGGTTGACACGTTATTGAATCCTTTGCATTTGTGTAGATCGATGGTCAAGATGTCAGTCACTGGCTTATCTGGTCCAGACTCGACTGTTTAGCCGGAAAATTGCTGAGTACGGCGTTAAACAATAAACAAATAGTCCAGTGCAGGTACAGTTGAAAAACATAATGAATGACGTATTAAAATAGTATCTGCATTTAGAGTTCTATTCTCAAAGACTGCAGGACCATTGTAAATAACACTTCAGGACAGTTTGACGTTTACAGATAGCAGTAAACTGAATATTTTCAAAGTTTTTTTCACAATCATTATAATAAAGCTTATGACAGAAAATGCTGGATTCAAAATGGTAATTTCTGCGGCAGCTATTTTAATTGGGGCACATTGCAGTGAGTACAGGTTTGAAAATCGTTTCTCAGACGTGTTCGTGGGGGTAGCCTAGTGGTTCAAGCGTCCGTTTGTCACGCTGAAGACCCTTGGTTCGATTCCTCACTTGGGTACAATGTGTGAAGCCCATTTCTGGTGTCCCCGCCGTGATATTGCTAAAAGCGGTGTAAAACCATACTCACTGTCTCAGATCTGACATATCCACTTCCAAACACCTGCAAGAGCTACGGTTGGTCCAAGTGGTATAACTTGGCGAATGTCGCCTTACCATTGGCTGTCTTGTCCACCGTGAGTCGGAGTGGAAGTAGTGCATGTGCTGCACGATTGTCGCGTGGTTGAAATATGAAACGACACCCTGCAAGGCCTATAAAGACAAACATCCTATCTTTGGAATGGAATATTTAACTTCACGCCGAAATGTCGTGGATCCACATTTTGGTCTTTTTCTGTTTCCGGACACATAGGCTTATAACGCAAAAAACTGGCACCATGGTATATACTGTCACTGACGGGGGTCTTAACACTATATAAAAGTTATATATGACACTTGTGGTTACTTAATATCCAATACATTTAGAGGTGAGGTGAAATTGGGTTTTACGTCGTGCTTGAGAATATTTCACTCATATGACGACGTGCATGCGTGTGTATGTATATGTGCGGCTGCCTGTACTAGCCCAGACTTAGCTGGTTTTATAGTGCTAGCCCACTGAGATACCATGCCGCAGTGAAGCATGAATATCCCACTCAGACACATTATACTGACTCCGAGCCGACCAGTCTGATACCTAGCTGCACGCTAAATGGCAGCTTGGTGGCAGAAGTGATGCACCTATATTTCAGATACCCTTTCGCGATACAGTATGGAAGATAATGGTGAACTTGCATTTTATTTTGTGTATTTAATCCGTCAGGCAAATCTAATTGATGAAAGTTTCATGCCTTGAACCGGCCGATTTCTGTGTTTCGGCCGCTGTTACTAATTTTTGACGTAGTATGTGAAAAAACGTCTGCATTAACTAATTACAGTACTACAGAATACGAGTCAGTTTCAATTGTTACCCGTCTTTGAACGTTACAGCCACCTGCTGCCAGGTGAAGATCCAGGTAAGAATTGGTCTTCTGTAACCCATGCTTGTCGTAAGAGGCGACTAACGGGATCGGTTGGTCAGGCTGGCTGACTTTGTTGACACACGTCATCGGTTCCCAATTGTGTAGATCGATGCTCATGCTGTTGATCACTGGTTTGTCTGGTCCAGACTCGATTATTATCTTACGACAAGCATGGGTTGCTGAAGACCCATTCAACCCGGATCTTCGCGGGTATGTAGAGCTTCTAAGACAAGGCAAATGCTGACGTGTATTGTGTTAAATGGGCTATTGTACACAGTTTGAACAAATGAATGTTTCACCGTTGTAATAATTTTGAAAGGTGGAATAAACCCAACACAGGTGGGAATTTAGCATGAAAGGAACGGACGAGTTGCGTCCAAGAATTGTATGATCGCGAGTTCGAATCCCAATTTCGACCTCGTATGATCTTTGCTGTGTCTGCACCGTTCCAGCGATTTCCATCCGGGTCTAATCATTCAACGCGTCCCCAAGCTTCCAACGTCAAGGAACATCTAGCTGTATAATGGTAAATTTATTCACATTCAAGATGAAGTCTAGGCAATTTTAAAAACAATGATTTCATGATATAATAGGTAAAAGTCATTTAAAACATTACACATTTGTTCTAAAATGGTGTTAACAAAATGGTAAAACACTAGTCATATTAAAATATATGCTCGTCTCCATGACGGTTGTGCATCTCGCATGCATGCACATGATAGCATTGCAGTGTGACAAAAACAATGCAGGTGATAATACAAACAAGGTGATGCATTAATAGCACAATTGTCAACAAGAAAAATAAACAAATAAACAAATTAAGAAATAACTTCAGTGAGACATGTTGAACAAACAACCACGGTCATTACAAATGTCAAAGGTTGAAGACCCGTGGACTGATCCATTTGTAACTAAGTTTATATACTAAACAGAATAAGTTAGGGATCATTGATATGTTGTGGGGTATTTTTGTCAAGAAAACTGATCTCACAACGTCAAAATACCACAAAATTGTCATGATCCCTAACTTTTTGTGTGCAGTATATATCTACATTTATCTTTCGGAAAATCATTACTGATGACAAAATTAAATGAACATAAAACCCTTGTAAAATATTAATAGTGACTGATATCGTGCTCGTGTTTAAAAGGCCTTGACGGTATATACAGTTAAACTAATACACTATTCCTAAAAACAATTAATATATATTATTAACACGCCCAGCAGATTGAAATTTCTGTGCAGTCATCTGCAGCATCTCACAGCCTTGTCGAACGAAGCCAAAGTTTGCCTGGAGGTCTGTTTGGATTGTCTGGTAATCAGAAACAAAGTTTATCTCAGAGTGTTGACCGTTCTGAAGACTTGGCAGGTAGCTGAACAGGTTCTGGAAGTGTTCATCTAAGTACCTCTTCATCAGCAAGGTTGCTGTGACCGAGCTGTGTGTGAGGACCTTGTCAATGTACTGTACGCCTTGGCTCAGAGTGTGGGTTGTGTTCTGAATCTGCTGGGCTTGGGTACTGATGGCAACCTGCTTAGTGTTGAACGTCTGATGAAGTTCTATCATGGCTTCAGTTCGGCGTCTGTCCAACATGGAGCTGTAGAAGGCGAAGGTAGCGTTGATGCCGGAAGTGGAATTCCTGTGCTGTGAAACAAGCGCCGATGAGTTATGGGCAGCTCGTTTGGTTAAGGCTCGTAAATGGTCAATCTTGTGTTTAGCATTTGCCAGTAGGTGGCGCAAAGAGTCTATGTGGTCGTCTGCTACATCAGTGAGAGGCTTGCATGCGTGACCTTCGTTGTGTTCTAATATACAATCACTGCACACGGGTTTTGCGCAGGTGGAGCAGAAATGATCCAAGACTTTGTTTGAGTGTTGGAGACACATGTCCGGTTTGTCTGACATGGAACCCTTGTCAGTGTCTCCTTGTAGATGTCCAAGGCTCATAACACGATGTCCTTTAAAGCGGTTCATGAACTGATGCGCCATTACACAGTTTCCGCACAGGAAATTCCCACAGTCAAAACAAATGGCAGAAGCGGTCGCATCCTTGATTTTACATCCGGTGCAGTGGACCACGTCGGAAGCTCCAGACCAGCCGCTGAAGACGTCTCTTCTCGCTGGTTGGTTGAGCTCCGAGACGTCATGGCCGCCGAGGTAAATATCCAATGGACAGAGTGGACAGTGGGCAGCGCCTGTCTCGTGTAGTGCCCGCTCCATGCATGGCTGGCAGAACGTGTGGTGGCAGCTGAGCATTCTGGGTAAGCAGACTGAGCTGCTGCAGAGGTCACAGCGTGTTCCGTGGTAGGCGGAGTCCATCTCGTAGTCGGATGAGCTGGAGGTAGTGAAGGTCCCACAATCGGAGGGGGTGGGGGACGCCATTACAAAATCAGTGGGTGCCACGAAACGATCTGGAATGATGAAATAAATAAAACTAACAATATTAATCCGAATCAGTTTTTAAAAAAATGAAAAAAAATGGGCCGCTTAAATTGGAAATATAGTGAGTGAGTGCGTGGTTTTACGCCGCTTTTAGCAATATTCCAGTAATATCGCGGTGGGGGGACACAAGAAATGGGCTTCACACATTGGAACGATGTAGGGAATCGAACCCGTGTCTTCGGCGTGACAGGCGAACGCTTTAAACACTAGGCTACCCCACCACCCCTATGTGAAATATAATAGGGATAATGACTCGGTGTAGCGTGATTGACGTCTTTAGCTAGCTATCAATAAGGAGGCCAGGTGTCCATGGTGGAACAAGTCCTGCTAAGGAAATGGAAAATAACACAGAACACGGATAGTATATAATGAATAATTTACATTGACTTAAGCTGGCGTCATCGGAAAATCGTACGGAGAGAAATACGCCTTGGCCTAGTGGATAGAGTTGCTGCCTGGATAACGGAAGGTTTAAGGTTCCAGCGCCGGGCGTATTATTCAATTAAAATATTTTAAACGATGGTACCTTAGGTTATCATTCGTGACATTCGGACTTAGAGATAAAACATGGCTGCCAAGAAACACTCAAGCATATGTGGTGTGGTGTGTTGTGTTGAAAACACGTTAAATCGCGTTTACCTCGCCAGTATATTGAGTGAGTTTAATTTATGCCGCACTCAGCAAGTCGGCGAGCCTGACCACCCAATCACGTTAGTCGCCTCTTTCGACAAGAATGGGTTACTGAAGGCACATTCTAACCCGGACCTTCACGGGTCCACCAGTATAGAGAAGCCCGGCCGAAAAGAAAATACAGAAGAAAGAGCCCGTGTCTAACAGAAAAGTTTAAACGTGGATTGAAGTGAGGTGAAATGGGGTTTAATGTACTTATGATTATTTCGTTCACATGACGTGCATGCGTGTGTATTTGTGGCTGTTTGTACTGGCCCAGACTTAAGCTGGTTTTTTAAGTGCCAGCTCACTGAGATACCATGCCGCAGTCAAGCATGAAACCCCACTCAGACACATTATATTGACTCCGAGCCGACCAGTCCTTGTTGTAGTCATTAAGGCAGGGATCAACAAATACCATATTTTAACGTCTTTTGGTATGATGCGGCCGGGGATCGAACCTGCGACCTAAAAGTGGAATGAGTGAGTGAGAGTATAGTTTAACGCCACTTTTAGCAACAGTCCAGCAACATCACGGCGGTGGTCACTAGAAATGGGCTCCACATATTGCACCCACGTGGGAATAGAACCTGGGTCTTGGGCGTGACGAGCGAACGCTTTAACCACTATGCTACCCCACCGCCCGCAATGAGAAAGAAATGCTGGTACAATAAGCCTGAATGTAAAAGACAGACCTGGACAGTAAGCCTACATTTGACTAACAGAATGGGCATAATGATAAGTTTCTGTTTGACGTAAAATATTTGAAAATAATGTAATTATTTCAGCGTTTCATATCTTATAGGTAAAGTAAATTTGATACAGAATTTTAATACATCTAAAGGCTTTGTTTGTGATAACGTCGTTACGTTGAAGGAACTAGAAGTGTTTCTGGGATATCATTTAACCACATCGAAACTTAACCTTTCCGGTATGTATTAAGTTATTAACGTAGGGGGAACTTAGAATATGACATTTAGTAAAAAGAATTTGCAGCTGTGAATAGATTGTAAATAGCACATAAGTAACCCGATTGGGTAAGAGTTCCTCCCGTTTCCCCATCCCAAATAAAACATAGATTAATATATACTAAAAGCATACTGAAAGGCAAAAGAAACGTCGTAATATTGGAAATGACATTTAAGTATCAATGGAACATTTGAACCTATTTTTTTTAAATAATACGCCACTGAAATGCAGTACCGACTTTCATCAGAGAAGATAACCCCTCTCCATTGTCCCCCACGACAGTTTTGCCGCTGTTGTGTCCACTTGGATACGTTCCCGGCAGTGACGTTGGGTGAATATGGGTCTCCTGGCAGGACATCGACAAAACAGGTTCCTGGCTTGGAGACGTCGCCGAATGGTAGGTCACTGACTGGTCGCTGGTGGTTTCCTATGGTCACCCTTGCGAATAGGTCTTGCACGTGTTGATGGACGATATGACGGTCCTTGCGACGTGTTGTTACACGGGGTTGACCACTACGTGGACGGTCATCAGTGCTGCTGGTGGCCTTGTATCGCACTCTAAGACGTTCTATCGTTCGTACGCTGCAACTGAAGTCATTAGCAATGACTCGAGCATGTTGACCAGCGTGCAGACGTCCAATAGCTTGTTGTGGTTGATCTCTCGTTAACCTAGTCATAGCTGCTGTGTTCAGAAAACAAGTGAACGATTGCCATTCAAGCCGGCAATTTATGCCTGAATGCATTTATGATGCACGTGCATCTCGATTTCAATGTTGTGTTTGTGGGAACTTTTCCCTCTCCAAAAAACAAAAACATTTCTAACTTCAATCTCAAACAATACTTTATTGGGCAATGCAGGCTACACGACCACGATTCATGTTTCCTCAAACTTGACTTCTGGTGTATATTTAAAAAAATAGGTTCAAATACTCCATTGATACTCAAATGTCATTTCTAATATTACGACGTTTCTTTTGCCTTTCAGTATATTAACAGAACTTAACACAACAATTACTAGAGAACTCACAAAAATGACTAAAGGTCCAAAAATTTAAGTTGGGGTTAGGTTTACGGTTGGGGTTTGGTTTAGGGTTGGGGGAACGGAAGGAACTCTTTCCCGAGATTGTGGTGCAAACTAGTCCCCACGTATATATACTAACAAGTTGTTTCAGAATTATTTATGCTTTTAAAAATCTCCTCCAGTAGCTCATAAGTTAAAATAGGGACCTTGTTGTTACCCTGGCTGGCACTCGGGATTAAGTAGCTAGATCTAGGACTGGTCAGCTGGGAGCCGGTAATCTGTGTTCCGTGTCCATGGTAAACTGCAGCATGGAATCTCAATAGTCATGCGCTATAAATCCGGCATTAGTCCGGATTAACACAAGCAAACCCACAGGCACTCACGCACGCACGCACGCACGCACGCACAGGGCGCACCATTTCAAATCAGCATATTTAACCAATAGTAGTTGTGATACGTTCATTGAATAATAAAAGCCATAAGCTCAAATTGCAGCTTAATATTATTTTATTATTTTACCCAGAGATATCCTTTCGAAATATAAGATGAATAGAAAGTCCCTATCCATTGTTTGTAAGAAATAAGTTGCAAAGCAACACACACTCACCTTATTGACAAACGTAGGAACCGATAAAGGTGACAGCAAGAACTCCGTGCTTCTTGTTGTCCAGGGGAATATAGAACACCCAGCGCCCTTCTACATTCACGCTCCACGAGTGTCCTGTCTCAGCTGACTGGCTCCGAAATGGACAACATGTGGGCAGCATAAACAATGACCGCCTGAGTGTTTCCAGCAAACCAGTCACAATTTCGCTTTCCCAAGCATGATAATTTCACAAAGCATAAGCAGCATTTTCCTTACTTCTTAATTGTCGTCTGCAATGGGTGTCACAAAAGTTGGAATCCGTGTGGAGTTTACCAAGTGTTTCATTGGTGAAATGCCTTGGAGTCGGAAGCACTTTGCGCGACCCGGTTTCAAACAAACCATTTTTACAATTGGATACCTTGGTCCGAGTTTATCGAGCCTTTTTAAAACATGACCAGCATTCTAAAAACATTATCACCAAACATATCTTAACAATATTGATTTCATAACCGTATTTTAAAAGATATTCAAGAACTATGTTATTAGCCGTAAGAACACTGTGTGAGTCGCCTCTGCGTGGTGCACGTGAAATACGTTCCTGTGCTTTTAGCACGTGCATCTCGCTCTTTTCCGATTGGTTTAGGAAATTCATGTTCTGGGGCAAGCATTGAACCTAAGTTGAACAACTCGAGCATATTTATCATTCACGTAATTATCATTCGCCTGTTTTGATGGTTCTGATATGAGGGAATAGATATACCTGATGAAAATATATCCAATTAGTTAACGCGATAAATGTCAGTATCAATGTTATCATTTTATTTATACTAAGTAGTTTCGTTACATACTGGCATGACAGCGGACTACTTTCGTGGTCTTCGCAGTTCAAATCCCGCTGGCTCTCCGAGCTCTCAACCAGCAACATAGCTTTTCGTTTGATTGTTTGTTAGCCGCATCCAGCAATATTCCAGCTATATGGCGGCGGTCTGAAAATAATCGAGTTTGAACCAGACAATCCAGTGCTCAACATCATGAGCATCTATTTACGCAGTTGGGATACAATGACATGTGTCAAGCAAGTCAGCGAGCCTGACCTACCGATCCCGTTAGTCGCCTGTTACAAGCATGGGTTGCTGAAGATGAATTCTAACCCGGATCTTCACGGATTTACCTACCAGAAAGGTCTAACGGTACCTGCAATAGGATGTCACAAGATCTTGTTTTTACCGACAAGTATTAAGGCCTGATTTTAAATAGATTGGGTTAAAATATTGCAACATCATCAAAGCTTAGAAGTTTTGACTCACCGAATACGTTTTAGTGGAGATGGTGACATGTGTCAACCAAGCCGTTTGTCTTCCCTAAGTGTGAACCTTGAAAATAGAACAATATTACATGATAGTTTCCTAAACAACTCTTTACATCATCGATCATAAACCGCCGTCAGATTCAGATCCTTTTGGGTACAGAGGTTTCAGGGCCATGTGCCATATTTATGTTGTGTGCACTTATCCCTATTTCGAGTTATTTAATCATTCATCGTTCTCATTTGAACCCAAACGGACTAAGTGTTTCACTGCCATTCTACAAGTTGGTGAGTGAAAAAGAAACGTACATCTTCAAAGACAAGAACTTCTGGTTTGTGAGTTACGTTCGTACACTGTTCTAATGCGTGAATGACTACTAACAAGAAACGAGGACTGATTGACTGACTGAGTTTGGTTTTACGCCGCTTTTAGCAATATTCCAGCAATAACACGGCGGGGGACACCAGAAATGGGCTTCACATATTGTACCCATGTGGGGAATCGAACCCGGGTCTTCGGCGTGACGAGCCATCGCTTTAACCACTAGGCTACCCCCAACCGCCCCAGAAACGAGGAGCGTGTGTGCGTGCGTTCAATGGTATATTTTCACTGCCATTGCTCTTTAGGGTTGGGTATTGCCAAATTTTCGTATTGCGATATATTGTGATATGTGTTGGCGTATTGCAATATATTGTGAAAGTGTAACACATGGGTTAAGGTAATGAAATTACTGTTTCCTTTCTTTTCAAACAACGCCACTGGCATCAACTGAAAATGTTTCCAAATTGAAGACTTTTTGGTTTGTTTATCCTTACTACGAGTGCCGGCACCAATCTCTCTTTTTTTAAAATATGGTTTAAAAGTCACGCAAATGCAAGTATATGACTAAGAGATATTATCCAAAATATTAATGTATAATAATATAAGGGAAATACAAATGTTATTAGTAGTTTTGACAACATCACGAAAATTACCGATCGTATCGGGTGAACCGGTTCGCGAAAAGTGTACCGCAATATATCGTATTGCGTAGTTGGCAATATCGCCCACCTCTACTAAACATTGTTAGAAGCGTTCGTAAAATCTTGTGTAAAACGGGTCCACGTGAAAATACGTAGGATCGTTGAGTGAGTTAAAATTTAAAGTCACTTTGGCAATATTTCAGCCATATCGTGACTAAGTTATATATAAATAATCGTAGGATTGTTGATATACATCAAGTAGCGGCGAGCCATGCCGCGAGGTGGCCATATTGACCTACAGGTATGAAGACTCGAACTCGAACAGTTTTCGATTCAACAAAAAGATACATAATGCACTCACCAAATACAACAAAAATATCATTTTATATCCTTTGCTAGACTATTGGTGTTATTTTGTATATTCTGTTTTGCTTTAATCAATGTATGTGACAAAAATTTAACAAAAACTAGTCCAACCGGCCCGAATATTTTAACACGTATGTTTTGTGCTGTTGTCTTTTAAACTTCTTGAGTGATACGGCGGGGTAGCCTAGTGGTTAAAGCGTTCGCTTGTCACGCTGAAGGCTCGGGTTCGATTCCCCATAGGATACAATGTGTGAAGCCCATTTCTGGTGTACCCCGCCGTGAAATTGCTGGAATGTTGCTAAAAGCGGCGTAAACCATACTAACTCACTCACTCACTGAACGTCTTGAGACGTGCCTGAGCTATCTTGAAAAAAGGGACGGCGGGGTAGCCTGGTGGTTAAAGCGTTCGCTCGTCACGCCTAAGACCCCGGTTCGATTCCCCACATGGGTACAATGTGTGAAGCCCATTTTTGGTGTCCCCCGCCGTGATATTGCTGGAATATTGCTATTAGCGGCGTAAAACTAAACTCACTCACTCACTATCTTGAAAAAAGAACGCCCGTGTCGATAGGTATTTTCAAGAGTGCACCCATCTACCTTACGGCAGTAACGTATACTCCAGTCTCGAGCTACTTTATTGCGCCATATAGGTTTACTGCACAGACAACTGCTACTGCTTATTGGAGATTCCACGTCACCGTTGACAGTCATTGTCAGGTTCCACGGTTATAAACCAGTAAATTGCCCCCATAACCGACTTTGTCCTCAACACATTAGATCTGTTAACAACACTTTTCTATTCTCTATGAATCTGATGACTCGTTGAGAGGCACGGTCACGGCCACCCCATGAATTCAAGGTAAATAACGTAGGCTCTGTTCTTCTCGCTCTGAGTGAGCTGTACGGGAGCCTTGGATGCAGCTGTGCAGCTTCTCACACTCACTGTCATGATATGGTATGACATAAAAAAGATATGACCTCTACAGCATATCCTTCACACGGATTGAGAAGGTTCCAAGATACTATTTACTGGTTCCACCTTTTCTACCTCAAATGTCACGATAGTAGCTTAACAGTATAATTACCATGGCAAAATGGTTGGAAAAGTGGAACGCTTTTTACGGTGTGTTCAATATAAAATACATGTATGCTAATCGTGCTCAAACAGTTTATGAGGTTTTAATGTTGGCAATGAGAAATATTCGTCCACTTTACCTTTTTTTCACTCATCATTCACACAAAATATAAAATAGAATACTCACGCTCATTTGATGCGCACACTTACTCAAACACTTGCAACACACACACACCACAGCTTTACACACTCACTTGTAGTACATCTACATTCACACGGTCACACCCAGCACTCATCACACACTCAAATATAAAGCACCTTTACTCATTCACTTGTAACACACTCTCGCCTATAGTACACCCATACAAATTCACCTGTATTACAGCCTTACACACTCGCTTGTAGCACTCTCACATATATCACAGCCTTACATAGTCACATGTAGCACATTCTCACACATAGCACAGCCTTACCTACTCACTTGTAGCACATTCTCACACATAGCACAGCCTTACATACTCACTTGTAGCACATTCTCACACATATCACAGCCTTACCTACTCACTTGTAGCACATTCTCACATATATCACAGCCTTACATACTCACTTGTAGCACATTCTCACATATATCATAGCCTTACATACTCACTTGTAGCACATTCTCACATATATCACAGCCTTACATACTCGCTTGTAGCACTTTCTCCATATATCAAATATGACACAGCCTTACCTTACTACTCTACTAGTACATTCTCACATATAGCACAGCCTTACATACTCACTTGTAGTACATTCTCACATATATCACAGCCTTACATACTCACTTGTAGTACATTCTCACATATATCACAGCCTTACATACTCGCTTGTAGCACATTTTCAAATATGACACAGCCTTGCATACTCACTTGTAGTACATTCTCACATATAGCACAGCCTTACATACTCACTTGTAGTACATTCTCACACATAGTCATTTGTAGTACACTGTCATACATAACGCAGCCTTACATACTCACTTGTAGCACATTCTCACATATAAAGCTTCCTTACATATTTGTAGCACATCGTTGCACACTTACTTCTAGCACACTCACGCACATAGCACACCCTTACGCACTCCTTTGTAGCACACTCTCACATATAGCACTTCTTTACATACTCATTTGTAGCACATTCTTTGCAGCATACTTCAATATTTGTAGCACATTCTCACACACTCACATGCAGCAGTTACTCACTCATTCAATCACTCGGTTGTGGCACTCGCTCACTTACTGTAAGCACACACTCTCACATACACCACCTGCTCGTATCAGTCTGTATTTCCCCTTATATCTCAACACCTTACACAACCTCTCTAGAAGCTATAGCCACTGTACAACTACAGCAGAGCTTCAACACCTTACACAACCTCTCTAGAAGCTATAGCCACTGTACAACTACAGCAGAGCTTCAACACCTTACACAACCTCTCTAGAAGCTATAGCCACTGTACAACTACAGCAGAGCTTCACTGTACAACTACTAGCAGCTAGCTTCAACACCTACACAACCTCTCTAGACCAACTTAGCCACACTACAGCAGACTTCAACACTCTCTAGAAGCTATAGCCACTGTACAACTACAGCAGAGCTTCAACACCTTACACAACCCTCTCTAGAAGCTATAGCCACTGTACAACTACAGCAGAGCTTCAACACCTTACACAACCTCTCTAGAAGCTATAGCCACTGTACAACTACAGCAGAGCTTCAACACCTTACACAACCTCTCTAGAAGCTATAGCCACTGTACAACTACAGCAGAGCTTCAACACCTTACACAACCTCTCTAGAAGCTATAGCCACTGTACAACTACAGCAGAGCTTCAACACCTTACACAACCTCTCTAGAAGCTATAGCCACTGTACAACTACAGCAGAGCTTCAACACCTTACACAACCTCTCTAGAAGCTATAGCCACTGTACAACTACAGCAGAGCTTCGACACCTTACACAACCTCTCTAGAAGCTATAGCCACTGTACAACTACAGCAGAGCTTCAACACCTTACACAACCTCTCTAGAAGCTATAGCCACTGTACAACTACAGCAGAGCTTCAACACCTTACACAACCTCTCTAGAAGCTATAGCCACTGTACAACTACAGCAGGCTTCAACACCTTACACAACCTCTAGAAGCTATAGCCACTGTACAACTACAGCAGAGCTTCAACACCTTACACAACCTCTCTAGAAGCTATAGCCACTGTACAACTACAGCAGAGCTTCAACACCTTACACAACAACCTCTCTAGAAGCTATAGCCACTGTACAACTACAGCAGAGCTTCAACACCTTACAACTACAGCAACCTCTCTCTCTAGAAGCTATAGCCACTGTACAACTACAGCAGAGCTTCAACACCTTACACAACCTCTCTAGAAGCTATAGCCACTGTACAACTACAGCAGAGCTTCGACACCTTACACAACCTCTCTAGAAGCTATAGCCACTGTACAACTACAGCAGAGCTTCAACACCTTACACAACCTCTCTAGAAGCTATAGCCACTGTACAACTACAGCAGAGCTTCAACACCTTACACCTCTCTAGAAGCTATAGCCACTGTACAACTACAGCAGAGCTTCGACACCTTACACAACCTCTCTAGAAGCTATAGCCACTGTACAACTACAGCAGAGCTTCGACACCTTACACAACCTCTCTATAGAAGCAGAGCTTCATAGCCATAGCTGTACAACTACAGCAGAGCTTCGACACCTTACACAACCTCTCTAGAAGCTATAGCCACTGTACAACTACAGCAGAGCTTCAACACCTTACACAACCTCTCTAGAAGCTATAGCCACTGTACAACTACAGCAGAGCTTCAACACCTTACACAACCTCTCTAGAAGCTATAGCCACTGTACAACTACAGCAGAGCTTCGACACCTTACACAACCTCTAGAAGCTATAGCCACTGTACAACTACAGCAGAGCTTCGACACCTTACACAACCTCTCTAGAAGCTATAGCCACTGTACAACTACAGCAGAGCTTCGACACCTTACACAACCTCTCTAGAAGCTATAGCCACTGTACAACTACAGCAGAGCTTCGACACCTTACACAACCTCTCTAGAAGCTATAGCCACTGTACAACTACAGCACAGCTTCAACCCAAGGTAGGCACCACCTAACCCTGGCGGACTATCGGCCACGACTTGCGTGTTGGTCTACAAGTTGGCAGGGTGTCAAGTGCACACAATGGAGCGAGTAAGCTGACTATAGTCATGTAGCAATATCCAAATGATCGCTTGGGGCTGCCTTTTCTATAGACACAAACACTGGTCCTGCTAGACTCGGCGGGGAAGAAGACAGGTGCTCCAACCTTAATATAACAGATAACAGCTCCCGCTTTTGTGTTCCCCTACTCTGCTGTTGGCGACGTAAATCGCCGGGCCGTCGTGACTCGCGTTAATCACTTTATCTAGACAGCCAAATAAACATTTGAGTTTAAAGAAGCAGAATATCATTTGAATTTGACATTGGCGCTTCCGTCCTTTTCAGACTCGTGTGTATTTTTGGACGCCCTTTTCTGCTTACATTTCCCCACCCCCACCCCTGTATCAACCGTGTCAGCTGTACACCCCGATCCGTAACCCCATCCTCACACCTTTTGTCAACCAATGTGTCAGTTATACCCCTAACATACCCTGATCTGTCACCCCCGCCTTCAGTCCTTCACCTTGTACCGTCGATATTCAGTCAAACAAGTTTCTGTTTTCAAGGTCACGTCATTTAATGAATAGAAACTTGAAGGCCCATTCTCGATTTTTGTGTGAGCGTATTCTGTTAACATTACATGCTTGTGCACCCCCTCCCACACACAGTCACACCCGACCAGGCTTTGCAGCACCCGCCGACGATCTTAACGCCTTTGTCGCGACAGTCGTAATGAATCTCTTGTAACAAATCAACACTTCTCCACTATAAGTCATTATGTAAATCTGTAACCATGGCAACTCCACAATGCTTCTTGACAATCAATAAGACCAGATGTAACATATACCCCTCCCCCTGTCCCTACTCTGAAGCCAAGCCCTCACCCCACGGGTAGGCCACTCGCGTATCGAAGCAGGGTAGGCTACCAAGACACGTGTGAAGGGCTTGGATTGGGTAGAGATCGGTGTAAGGAGCTTTTTGGCTCTTTAGTATTGTGTTGAATTGAGTTGTAGGTATCGACCAGCTACTGCAGTGTGTGGAGTTGCGGGTGTATCGACCTATGGAGGTTCTATACAGTAGGACCCGAGACGAGATCTAGCAAACAGGGTTATCTGCTCTCGCTGTCGGACCGTACTGACGTCATTCATCAGCACCGACATCAACCCCGAACACAGGTAAGGACATATTACCTCGGCGTACATTCAGAACTTACCTGATTAGGGCACCGTGGCCTTAACGAAGCCTCGGTACGCGTTAAAAACCAAGTTGTGCTTATATAGAACTGCCACCAGTCGCGGCATAATATACCACTGTAACATTGTATACTCAAGGATTAACGGAGCTGTTTTTAGTCGATCTAAGAAATGTGTATTCTAAACCATCACTGCCAGGAATGGCATGAGTAGAGAATATGGGACTAACATCAACGGATGACATTTTACTTCGTGGCAAGGTCACAAAATGTTGTATTTCTGGATTAATTCACCGTGCGTCATATGAACCCAATGTTTTGGTTTGTTCAAAGATAACGTTTGTATTCTGCACCTAGGGCTATGTACTTGCGGATTTCTGTTCACGACCACAAATATTCCTGCCACTCAAGTATCGAACATTTAAAGCTATATATTTCGATCGAGTTATATTTAGGGCCGACTAGGTGAAACCAGTTGTTTTCTTACCAAGTTTCTTTATAACAATCTTAATTATCAAACGTATACAGCTTTATGTATACAGTATAATGTATGTTCATATCAGTGGCTCAGAAGATACGGCAAGACATGTATGTTATCACTAATATTTCATTGAAAATCATTTTTTGTATATTTTTTTTCAAATTTGAATTATTCAAGTGAATATATTAATTTCACCTCATCACATATAGTCACGTGGTGGTTATGTATTCATAATTTTCAAAGGTGTGTTTACACAAACAGCAGATGCTTATATTGCAAGGAAGTGTAAATATTTATTTAGTCCAAAACCGGCATTTATTATGTTTGAATTCATATCCAGACAACATATCTAATAAAGTATGTACACTGTGCATCAGCCATTGACATGACTGCAAGTATATACAGGCAGATTGAATTAACCTGTAGTTTGGTGTTAAGTAACACGTATCAGAGGTACAGGTGTAATACTATTACACGGATCATGTTGTAATATTACATAACACGTGAAAATACTCAACACATGTAATAATTCTGAAATACACTGATAGTAATATGATAATGCAAGGGTTTTTTAATTGCATCCCCAGATTACAATTTTGCCATATATATTCTGAGAAAAATAAATAAGGGATAACAGGAATACTCAAGCGTCCCTTTAATATTTTCAAGTTTTCATCCCCAGCTTTGAATAGCACTGTGCTGATGAAAACTGGAAAATAATAAAGGAACGCTTCAAATTTCCTGTGATCCTTTATTTGTTTCTCTCAGTATATACAGAACTGTGATACATACAGATCAATGCTGTGCAGGTATTATATTAACATTATATTAATAAACATATATAACTTAATATATGAGAAAGATTATATCAGGTATGTATGGTTAAATTTAAAAGTCATATATTAATGCGACTTGAATAAGATGTTATTCAGTGTGTAAATATGTCCAGGTATTTCAAAGTTGATAAGAATATATATTTCCATACTTGGAACCTCCCGGTGTGGACTGGGGTGGAGAATATATTTTTAGCCTTTAGTGATCTATTCATATTTTTTTCAGGACTATTATGTATTTTATGCTTGGTGGAACTGTTTTGGTAGATAATCGGGAGTTATTTTCTCAACGTTGACGTTTTATATGTATTTGAAAGGGTGTCAAAATACTGAAATTCAGATAAACGATTACAATGGGTTTCGGTTTTACGAAAACATTAGAATAGAAGTTGTTTCATACCATAACAGATTATGTGATGGACCAATTCATTACACAGACGTGATGATAATTCCTTTATCCCTGTAACAGAAACTTGAAACTAGCTTCTTGTGTATGTGTTTGTTTACTGGTTTGAGTAAACAGTCCATAATAAGTTTCATGTAACGTGATAACTAATCGAACGCTGACTCAATGATATTGTTACGTTGGTATCCTTACAGCTATTGATAGTTTTTTGTGTGGAATATTACACAATTACAATTTTCAGAGTACATTCTGCTGTTACAGGATATGTTGTTAGTTTGTTATTCATCGTTACTATCGAATTCGATTTGATGTAAATACCACAAAATATTTTGACCAGGTTCATTTTAAAATGATGTCTGTTATCGCCACGAGTACTATACGCCGATGTGATTCATTCCGAGCAGAGGCCATTCTACAATGAGCGAAATATGACAGAATCATCCAAATGGTAATTATGGTTGTCAATATTGTAATATATGTAAATATTATTTTATTGATGGTCGGATTATAGATACATGTTATCATGTCTTAACATGTAAATAAGTTGCTACATATGAATTTGTGAAATGATATCCTTCACAATGCCGTTAGGATATCACATTACATTATATAACATAACATTAAAACTGTTCAAAGTTTATATTAATCTATTTCAAATTGGTTATTATTTAACAGGTTTTATAACTTCACAAAGACGGCAAGCCAGCCGAATATTGCCACATTCTGTGAAGGTGTGTTTGGATATCCTGCTAAACTATTTCGGGACTTTATCTCAAGGAATCGAAAACGCATTTCTGGACTATAATTTCACTTTTAGACGTGAATTTATTTTTGGTAAGATGCTGTTTTTATAAATATTTATGCCAGAATATCTAGGAATATAGTTATTAGTGAATGCCATAGGGATATGGAGTGAATTTGGCAAGATAAGTCATTACTCTTACAAGATGAAACACAATCTGGCCAAAACGTATAGCAAAATGGTCAGATTATATATTTCGGATTTCAAAGTACAGATTCTAGGTGTGTGGTGGTGTGTGTGTGTATGTATGTGTATGTGTCTGTGTGTGTGTGTGGGGGGGGAGGATAGGGGGGAGGAGTGCAGGTGATGACTTTTTTTTTAGTAGTTACTTCTTTCCGAGAGTTTGAGTCCAAATTTGACTCAAGACAAAATACATACTTCTATCTGTACACTACTGAGAATGGACAATAAAAAAACACTATACATATGCACAAGTAAAGTGAGTTATAATTGAAACATATCTATCATAACAAAGCAACAGATGTTGTCTGATGGAATACACAAACGATGCAAATATGATTATAATGTAAGTCCATGTATGAATCTCCATACATCCAATCGGGTAAGTATCACCTCCAAACAGGAACGTCAACATGTCGTGTTCGTCCAGCATTTCAAATATGACATAGGCTTCAACATCTAGGTGATGTATTAGATAAGAAAATAACTTGTTTCTGCTTTGCAGAAGTAATCCCACATAAGACATATGTTACAAGACATGTTGTTTAAACATTTATTATTTATGTTTCATATACAACTCCCAGAGTGTGTAAACAGTAAGCTATCAAATATGTAAACATCTCAGAAGATGCTACAGTGTTATTGTATGGAATATGTAAAAAGCTGCACGGCGGAACAATAATATGTTTTATCAAAATTGTATATCTACTCCGTAATACAAATTCACTATTATCATTTGACACATTTCCAATATTATTTCTGTTCCTTTTTTAACGAATACTCATTGGATTTAAATGGTATTATCGGTAAGGAAATATTATATATTAATATTCAAAACATTTAAATATTAAAAATTACGAAAGATGACTTTGGATATGATGTCAGTGTAAATCGTATGATTAGAGTACATATTGTAGCGTTGAACAGAAGGTGTACATTTTTGAACATTTAAAATTTTGTACGATTACCGAATTATATACAAACAAATACCATTCGAAGATAAGCCCGGTTACATCTGTGCTTATAAACTGTATCATCTGTCAGTGGTACTCAGCATTAACATCGAATATCATGAATACAATTTTGTTTCGTGAAAATAAAAGCATATTAAGGCGTTTCCCAGTTTTCCTCACCTCATGCTGTCCTTTAACTTATTCAATTATCCACGCGACGTCTACAATTTTGTATACTCCGTTCGTTTGCGCATGGATCACATTTTATAATGCTACAACAGCTCTCATACAGCCTGCCTATATCATTGACCCACTCGAGCGTGTAATGTGATAACATTCAATATCTCAGTGTATATATTACCACATCCTTTATGGAATATCAAATAATATTCGGAGACACATGTTGTCTCGTAACAAAAGTCTACTCGACTTTATACTCAGTTTATACAAAAACGCACGTGTAATTGTGTCATTTACACAAAGGTGTGAACCCATCGCTACATTAAGGCATGGAGATTTGTGTTGTAAATTTGTGAACATTTTCGTCAAATTTCGTTTTTGTATGTTATCCTTGGATTATTCCCATTTGCATTAATCGGCAATTCCAGACCACCCCTTTTATCGTGTCTAAATATTTACTACGCATTAAAATTAAATGTTCCTAATTTATGACTTAATATCATCATTATCATAGAAGGATTTAATAAGGACGTGCTTATGGTGCTACTATTAAGGCAGGATATGTTCATCTTTTCGTGAACACCTGGCATCGCCACTGTTTGATGGTAATTCATAAACACGTAGCTAGGTTGTCGGACTGATTGCTTATTTTGCAAAACTATTTTTATTATGGAAAGATTGTGGTTGCTATTGTTTATATCTATTTAACTTTTAGTTTTGTAAAGTCCCACTCTATACCTGAATATGATTTTTCATAATTTTAAGCCGTTGGTTCCTTTCGTTTGGGGGCGGTGGGGTAGCCCAGTGGTTCAAGCGTTCGCTCGTCACGCTGAAGGCTCGGGTTCGATATCCTACATGTGTACAATGTGTGAAGCCCATTTCTGGTGTCCCCCGTCGTGATATTGCTGGAATATTGCTAAAAGCGGCGTAAAACCATACTCACTCACTCTTTTCCATTGGGTTGGTTATGCTGTATGTTCCTACTGGGTGAATGTTGTAATATGCCGCGTCAGCAATAGTACATGTAATCGAGGCCGGCAGAGTTTGGGGTACCGCATTCCATTCTGCCACGGTGATCACTTGTAACATTGTGTTAAACCTATCTACATGTGTAAGTAATATACTATTTATATGATACACATTTTGCA